CACTCTCCATGATGAATCGTAGTACTCCATAACAGGCCCTTATAAAAAAGGAACACTCATGAACATTTTAAAAGCATAAGAAAGACTTATTTTCCTTCAAATTTGGCAGCATTCCTGTTTTAATATTATTACTTATAGATTTCTTGTGACTGACAATGTTATCAAAATATCATGCCATGTCAAACCATCACTGTACACAACCATTTTATGATGACTGTAAATTTGCAGTAATGATGTATTAATATACCCAATTTTTTCCCACAGTGCTGCTCAAATAAAGCAGACTGTCCGCAAATTGGGAATTTAAGCACTTTTCGCAATAAGTGAATTACATCAGGGATAGACATTAACTTTCAGATTTACTTGCCCTTTGGGCAAGTGATCTCAAACTTCGACTTGTCCGAACGCAAAACTTGGTTGCCCAAAATAAGGAAAGAACTTCAGAAGAAATTTTTTATTACTGTAAATGTTATGACAAGAAAAAATGTGACCAAATAAACTACTGTCAATTTGGAAAGTTTAGCTACCTGAAAAAAATTTCAATGCTGCATTTGTACATAAATGTATACCACTCTACTTGTAAATTTAACCTGTTAACACACACTGCCATATAGCAATAACCCTCTGTTTTAATAAAATTCATTTTATTTTAAATTATTTTCGTTAGGATTCTTTTGTGAATCGTTATTTTCTGAGATAACTATGAAACAACGCTGAAGTAACATACATCGATTTTTACCTTGATCAGGATACATCGTGTTACACTGTACTTATATTCTGTGAGTGAATAAATAATATAATTTTCAAATAAGAAGTTAACAAAGATATTAGATGAACAGCAAATTTACCGGGGAAAAACGGAAAAACGAACCCGATTTTCAAATGAAAGGTATAATCCAGAAATGCTGACAAGGAATTCCTAATCCAAAAACAATGTCAGTCAGGTACCTGGCGGAAATCAAGTCTTCAATTTATTGGGTTTTTTTATATAAATTAATGTAAAGTAAATAAATATGTACATTTCTACGAGAAAAATTCACTTGCCCGATCGGACAAGTACGTCGTAAGATTCACTTGCCCGAACTGAGAATTTACTTGTCCCAGGCATTCGGACAACTGTCAATGTCGATCCCTGTACATATATCTACATATAGATGAAGCAAATACTTCCATCAAAATCATTCAAAAAATCAGTCAAAAAAAAGGCTCAATGATATTTGTACACTGAGTATTGTTGTGCATTTTTTTTTCCTGCAAGATTTGGTTATCTTTTTTGCTCCACTACTTTGTATACCAAGTACATGTACATTCACTAACAATTTTTTGTCCACTATGCATATGTGTTTATTTGTATCTGACAGGAAAATAGTGAATCTGCAGTATATTTTTAAATTTACTAATACAATAATCAACATAGTAATAATACCATGTTCTGCACATTTCAAATAATTCTACTAATATTTCTGGGATACCTTTATTCTGGGCATTCTATTACTTCAGTCTGTGTGGACAATTGTCACACTTGATTAATCTTGAGGTACTTTTTACCCTTTAATATACAGATCACACTCTGTGTGGCATTCAATTTTACAATTTTAGAGCAATTTACTTTACAATATACTTCATTTTTGCCAAAAATACTGCAGAAACACTTGCACTAAACAAGTACAGTGATTGGGAAGGGCTTGCACCACGCGCCATAGTCGCATTGAAGTGAAAAATGGCACATTTTATCAACCATTGGTGGCGCCAAGGTGCGCAATCAAATTTTATAGATGTTGGAAATAAATTGCGTACGACTTTCTTGCTTGTTTTACTTTCATTTTAAAAAGTCATTCTAATACAACAAATCTCATTGGTTAAAACCCGGCAAAAACTGCTTCCTATTACATGAAGCTTTATATAGGACAACAAAGGTACATTACCTCACTCATTTCCAATGTTTAATTGAAATTTTGACGATATTGATCAAAGAAAATTATATCGTTGCGGTTCATTTAAATGTGATAAACTGCATACATGAAAAATAAAATTTGGTTAATGTAGAAACGTGTTCCATTTCATATTTGTTTATTTGTTTGTTGTCATTTTGTTTTTTTCTTAAAATGTCCCATCAGAATATATAGATGGCCCATTCATTTTCAAAATGGCCCATTAAAAACTTTGACAGTTGCGCCATAGTCCCATTGACCTCGGTGGCCTTCCCAATCACTGCAAGTATGCTCTAAATTGTCTTATTTTACAGTATTAAGTAGTGCATTAATATTTATGTAAAACCATTACCATGTACAACCATTTCATTACGACTGTAATACAAAGCAATGATGTATTAATGTTCCCAATTGTTACCACAGTACTGCTCAAATAAAGAAGCCTGTCCTCAAACTGGGAATATGAGCATTTTCAGCACTCACAAAAACTGACATGTCTTTGACTTGTCTAATGTTAAATTCACAAAGAAATCATATATACATTAACATTACCTCCTGACTGCCAGGCCTCCAATCAACTTGTATCTAAGAGACTCGCACTGTGCAATGGCACACAGACCACGCTGTGCTACCTTCTCTGCATAAAGCTACAATAGAATCAGTTAATTAATTTTTGTACTCTTTTCCCTCAGCAATTGTGATAACTTTGATTACACATCCTTAATGTTGTCCTTAATATCAAGGGAGGCAAAAGTTTTAATTTTATCAACATGAATTCTTTCAGTGTTTTCCCTTTATTTCAAAGTAAAGGGTTTGAGACTCATTTAATATAAAAGAGTAGGGGTTGAGGTTTATGAATAATATCTCTGTGGACCTTATAATAGTTATGTTTTAAATTTTTACTTCTAAGTGGCATTTATATCAATTGAAGTGGTCAATTGGCCGGTAGCCGGTTCTTAGGGAAAACACTGATTCTTTTATTTTTATTCATCAGTCAAAATTACCTCAACTGTTCCTTCTGGGAAGTTGAACCTTTTCTGTACCACTGAGGTCAGTTCTCTGATCCTCCTGCCTTTTTCTCCAAGGACATTCTGTGTTCTTGTGGCCAGGATAATGATTTCTGTGCGTGTTGGTGTCACACGAACTTCTACACCACTGTAGCCATCTTCTGCCAGCTCCCTTGTCAGGAAATTGTTCAGCTCAGCCTTGAAGACTCCATCTGCAACAAACTGCAAAAGGCAATCTAATTACTAAATAAGATGATGCCTGATCAGCAATTTTATAAGATGCTATATTCATGCCTACTTTAAACAGATTCACTTATTAAATCATGCTCTTGATATCAGTAAACATGTTGTCAAGTAAAGTGTATAGTTTGTTCCAAAAAACCTCTTGTGTGTGCATCTGACATCACTGCATATTTGTGTATAATATCATTGTAGCATGACATTGTCACAATAATATTTAGAGGAATTGGTAAGTTCTAGTTTTGTAAACTTTCATGGGTATATAAGACTCAGTTGAAAATAAAACTCTCATTTACAGTTCGCTTCATGATCAGGGAGGCCGGGTTCAATTTTCATTTGTCGCACTGCTTCAAACCTAAGATGTAATCATAGGTAGTGACTGTTCTTTCAACAAGCGCCTGGCATTAGAGGTGAAAGTCATGGGTCTTTTGGAGGATACCTTAAAAACTGAGGTCCCTTGCCACAGTAAGCATTGACAAGGTATCATCAGAACCCTCATCGCTCAGGCCCTGATAGTCCGAAATATCTGACGTTTTCCAGGCTTTTTTCACGATTTTGATATTTTACGTGCCAGGAAAACGTCAGAACCGGCACCATTACGAAAACTGGAAATTCGCCGCCTCCAACTGGAGGCGGCATTCTCAGGTTGATTTTCGATACTTGCTAACCGAATTACATGCTGAATTCACAACTTATCAATAGAACAATGCCTTTAGTACTCATCAACATCGTTTTTATGGTTTGTTTATAAAATATACAGTCCAGTGAAAACATTTTATCAGACCCTCGAGTTTTGTTTACAATTCGTGCATTTAAAATCTTGCAAGACCTGTATCGAAATGTAGAGTTATATTTTCTTTTCATCGATATTGGTGAGTATTAGAAGCATTGTGCTATTGATAAATTGTAAGTTCGGCATTTAATTCAGTTCACAAGTATCTAAAATCAGGTCCGGTTGAAGACGGCGAAATTTCCAGTTTTCGTAATGGCGCCGGTTCTGACGTTTTCCTGGCACGTAAAATATCAAAATCGTGAAAAAAGCCTGGAAAACGTCAGATATTTCGGACTAAGGCCCTGAGTGCCAAGTGAAGGTCTTATTTTGAAGCCCTTCATTGGCATACAGTGACGTCTCTCTATGAGTGAAAATAAAATTCTCGATTGGGACGTTAAATAACATACTATCAATACAATTTCACATGATTCTATCCCCCCCCATTTCCCCTCATTTTAACCAGTTGCCAAATACTTGCATTTATGCTATACAAGTCTCGTTGGCTTGATGCAGATAGATATTGTTATATGTTTATCATATTTTCTCTAAAATATTTTTTATAGGTCCTTTTCTCATCATAAAAGGTCTTTTCCGTGCAGCATTCGTGACATTTTGAGATTGCTGTGAACGTCTTTCCCAACTGAATCCGTACGTATCGCGCTTAAATCCAAACATCCACTTCCAGTGAGAACATAAAAACATGCTTAATTCATTTGACTATCATTTATTGGGACATATTTTGTTTTTAATGTCGTAACAAAGGCGTAAATACTAGCAAAGCAGACCTTTTTCTTCTTGCTGACGGGATTCGCCATGTTGATGGCTTGAAAAGGAAGTAGAAAAGGGAGGCTAAACCTGTGGCATTTACTATTCCGAAATAGAAAAATAATTTAGTGAAACCGACTTTTAAAAAGTAACCATGAAAGTGATGTTGTCAGTAATAATAGGATGAGCTTAGCAAATCACACTTCAAAAAAAAAAAACTGGTTTAAATTAAAATATCTGGTCAACGTGTTCGGTTTTAAATAATATAAAAATGACACCATACAGCCTACTTTCGTTTTGTCTTTTAGGTTTTTTACAATGTATAAACACAAAAAGTCCTTTTGTGAAGGAGTTTCAACAGTCAAAAAAATATGCAGCTGATGAAAGAACTCTAGTACAATCAGAGGTGTGTTTTAAAATCACTATTTTCAAATAGGCGGATTACTAGACATGCAGCAGGAAGTTTTAATATGAACAGATAAATTTTTTAGCATAAGCATATTTTTTTCTTTTCAGAAGAATTCAAGGAGATATGAATTTTTAAATAAAGCAAATGGTGCAACTTATGGACCTACTAAGTTCTCACATCTCTCTCAGGAGGAATTTGAAAGTAATGCATTTATCATTAATCATCAATCACTGACACTCAGTTATACCAGTGACATATAAAAAGTTGGCCATTTTATTATTATGAGTATTAATATTTGAGGCCGATTCCACATTTTCATCATTTTGTAGATGCATATTATTGTTATATGTCACTGGTTATACTATACACGTGACAAGGTATAAATGTAGGCCTAATATATTGTCTCGATTTTGCATGCATTGGATATCTTTTTATGGTGTCATTGGGCTTTTTAAAGGAAAAAAAATTCAGAGACTAAAAATTACTGTTAGATAGAAGCCTCTTGCTTATCAGCTCAAACAGGGTCGCGTATAGGTCCCTGACTCAAATCACTCACATTTTTGGATTTCTGACATTTCTTTGCATTACCTATATAGTCCCCTGATCTGTGATGTTGCAGATGAAGACTATAACATCATGCTCTTAATAAGATCAGTAGTGCAAGGTAAAGAGTGCACAAGGGATTCAAATTTTGATTTTTCCATTTGTGCTCTCTCCGACCGATGTGATAAATTGTATACATAGGAGATAAAATAAATATTATTAATTATTTACATCGATCATTAATCAAAGATTGGGAATGCTTGTGTTATCGACTTGATTCTAATTAAAAAATTTCATTAATTACATATTTTTAGCTCCTATCATCATAACTACAGTGTACTTTGTATATTTTCATATTGTTCTTGGTAGAATAAAAAAGACAAGTTAATGATTGAAAGATTTACAAATTGAAGTATTTAAATGTAATCATATATAATCCAATTAATTTTATTTGATTTCTTATACATGTAATATGTGTATTTGACTTGCAGAACAATACCTGAGTGATTTAAAGCCAATAAAGGAAAGACAAATTAAATACCTGGGGAAAAAGACACCATTACCCAAAATCTATTCATCCCAGATACCACAAAAAGTGGACTGGTAAATTCAATACATGTATATCCTGTAAAAATTTGCTCATCCTTAGAGCTTCATAATTAAGATTTTATTTTTTATTTGTGTTTGTTTGATTATACCTTGTATTTCTGAAATTTCTCTAAAATGGAAAAGACACTATATTGGATTGTCTGTAAGTTCACCTATTGTGATAATGATGTAAGATTGTGGGTAAATATCTTTTTTCTAGGAGGAATCATAGTGGAGTAAATTACGTATCTCCAATCAAGAATCAAAACAAATGTGGAGGGTGTTGGTAAGTTCATATTATTAACAATTCAAAATGTTAGAGATTTTTTTTTTTTTTGTAATCTATACAACATGTACAATGTTTAACATTTTCTTGTTAGCATTTAAAAAAATGTTCTTGTAAGACAGCCAAGGTTATTCATAGATGCTTGTATAAAATGAAAAAGAAAACTATTTGTTTTATTATGTTGATTTCACTATCGCTGACAATTTCATTTAAATACATTAATTTCATACTAATTTTTATAGCAAGATCTTTTCATTTTTTTTCTGTTAAATCATTAATTAATTTTTTTTTTGTTTTAGGGCTTTTAGTACAACAGAAACCATTGAATCTATGTACGCAATTTCCCACAATGTAACCCCTCCTCGACTAAGTGTACAGGAAGTCATTGACTGCTCGGTAGGAAATGCTGGATGTGCTGGTGGAGACACCTATACAGCTCTGTTGTGGTTAAACAAAGTAAGTCAAGAAAGTTATATGTAGTCAATTGTTGCTCTTGAGCAAATACATGTAGAGCATACAGTTTAGATTTCTGTAACCATTTTGTAATAACTTAAAAATTCCTGAGCTATACACCCATGACCTTTGAGATGTCTTGCTTCAGTTCCTGAATATGCAGAGCTGAAATTTTCAAGATGACAATTTTTGGGCTGATCAGAGTATTGGTCGATGAACCACTTTCTGTATTCCATCACACTTGAGGCTTAAAGGTGTAGGAATTAGACAATGGTAAAACCAGGCCTTTCCTGGTTAGATCTAAATAATAAATTCATTGTCTAGATAGCTCAGAGCTGCAGCTTTCTGGAATGGATCATTCAGATAGATATACCAAAGAGCTACAGAGCCATCCATTGTAAAATTCTTTACTGTGATGTCATTTTTACTTTTTATTTTATCACATGTTTCAGGAATTATTTCTCATATTATATGCATTCCCAACATAAAGCATGGTATCTTGCTTAAAGCATGGTATCCCTTAATAAAACATAAAATAAAATAATTACAAAGGCCTTTATCCAGACACTAAAACCAACATATACAAATGGAAAAAATATCCCTGAAATCTGTCAAAGTTGGTAAATTCTGTAGATGGAAACCCCGGTAATTTATTTTTTATATAATTTTAGCTTAGACTGTAAATGAAGAATTTGTAATGTTGTTTTTGTACCATTACAGAGCCAGTCCCTGCTGGTTTATGAGGAGGAATATCCACTCACAGATACCTCAGACTACTGTCAGCTCCTGACCAACTCCTCTAGAGGGGTTACTATAAATAACTTCACCTGCAATAGGTAAAAATACCCAGAAATCAAAAAAAAAAACTCTTTCAGTATTGAGCATAAATATTTGCAATTTCTTTCTTCAAAGGGAATAATATATACATGTGTATTGGTTTTAATTAGCATGGTTGCTTAGACCTTATGCACTTGTAGCCATGATTCAGCAAGATCAAGGTCTTGGAGCAATAATATTTATGAGTACCCGGCGCGCGCCCCCTGAAATCGTCAAAGTTAGCGTAAATCATAGTTTCATCAAGAAAATGTAAAAATGTCTACTCAGTATACCTCACTTTTTACTCTACAAAATCTCTAGAACCCACAACCATGCCCCAGACCCCGTGCCTACTTTTTGCGCCCCCTCTAACTTCAATTCCTGGATCTGCGCCTGATATCACCAAAATATCTTGTCTGCATTTAACATCCTTTCTTATATGAAGCATTCCAAGAGCAGAAGCTTAGAGTGTTGAATCAATCATTGAACATGTTTTTGACAGTTATGTTGGAGTGGAACAATCTATGCTGCAGTTGTTGGCATTTGTTGGCCCCCTAGTGGTGGCTGTGGATGCAACAACATGGAACCATTACTTAGGGGGGATAATTCAGTACCACTGTGAGAACAAGCTAAATCATGCTGTACAGATTGTAGGCTATGATTTGACAGGTAAGTACCTTTTTACCTTAGTGTGTATACTAGTATATCTGAGCTCAAAACGGATCTTTTCTGATCACATTTTATCTGGTGTCCATCTGTCTGTTCATCTGTAAACTTTTAACATTTATGATTTCTCCTACAGAAACACTCAACCAAATCAATTAAGCTTGACACAAGTCTTAAATAAAGGAGATAAAAGTTTGTTCAAATCAAGAGCCACACACTCTTTTAAGGGAAGATAATTAAGATATACAGTGTAGTGAAAAATTACTGGGGTCATTTAAAACTCTTTTTCTCAAGAACTGCACAGCCAGAAAAGCTGAAACTTAAGTGAAAGCTTTCTGACATAGTGAAGATTCAGTTGTATTCAAGTCATGGCCCCTGGGGTAGGAGGGGCCACAATAAGGGATCAAAGTTTTACATTGTATTGATTGGAAAAAAAAACTTCTTTTCACAAACAGCAGGACCATAATTTGTCATATTAATATGGAAGCATCCTCAGATATTTCAGATTTGAATTTTCATCAAACCTTTGCCTCTTTGGCTATGGTGATGCCTCATAAATGGATCAAAGTTTTACTTAGGAATATATAGGAAAATATCTTTTAAAATCTTGTTCTCATGTACAAAGAACAAGTCTCAATAAGGCTTATCTGTGGTCCCCGGTTACTCGTCAAATTTCGAACGTTTATTAAAATTTTTAAAAATTAAATTTTATTATTAACTAATTTCTTTATTATTTGAATCATCATCTAAGAATGTCAAACAATAGATATAGGCAGCATACGAAGCTGCGCGTTGAAGGTAGGGTCCTTCGATTTTCATGAATATCAAAAGAAATCAGTGACAGGTACACACTTCAAAGCTTTCGTAAACAGAGAGCACAGGTTTGTTCAGAGTCGAGTTTGAAATATAATGTGTATATTATATGTGTAAAGGTTGAGTGAAAATATCTTTGTTGAACAACCTTGTGCTCTATGTTTTCTAATTAAAAGTATTATGATTTTGAATCTCTTTGTTGACTTCATTTACATGCGATTAACCTCTTTATGACCTGTTTAGAATCATAGCAAGCCACGTTGGATTTATATCGTTACGGGTAAATGCCCCCAGTAAACGTGCTAGTTCTCAGTTGAAACGTACTCAGTTTTATATCGATCAGCATGGACTTGTTTGGTTCATCTTGTTATAGCTTTTATTGCCAAAGTTTTGTTAATAGAAAATTGTATTTGTAGTTGATTGTGAATCTTGAACATATAATATTCGTCTTTGAACGAAAAATATAATTCCAAGATCTTCTTTTTATAGTATCTAATCTAAATGTCTCCGCCCATTTCCATGTAATAGAGAAACCGTAGTCTGATTGGGTGAAAATGTTCCGGGATTTTTTAGTGCGATAGATGTTAAAAATAGGCTTGTATTTTTTGATATGTTTAATTATTCATTATAAATACACAATGTTTTAATTAGAAATACTTCGTTATACACAATGAAAACAATCAAAATACCGTACGCTAATATTTAAACGGTAAACCAAGGGTGTAAAAAGGGACCACACTACTATACTTAAGTAGAATACTCCTTTTTCCTGTGAATAAAGAGGAAAAATCTATTTAAGAATAGCACAGCCATGGGAATACAGGTGAGCACTGTGACCATGGGCCTCTTGTTAGACTTGATATGAATGTGTTCAATAAAATTTATCAGTCATACTGCTTTTCAAACCATTGTTAATATCATGGCCATAGGAACAGGGGGGGAGGGGGGGCAATAATTTTGCGGATATATAGATTACTAATAGTAAACATAGATAATATATGCTTGTGCCCCCTCAATGAAAACGGCTGATGACATTTTTTTTTTTTTGCTTGTCAGGAAATTTTTGGTAGTGCCCCCTCAACTGTCAACTGAAAAATGTATGGCTGTGCCCTCCCTAAACTGAAATTGCTTCCTACGGGCCTGAATATTCATTGTTAAACAGATTATTATTCCAGAGTGAATGCAGTTTTAACAATGGTACACAAAGCATCACCACATCTAACCTTATATTTTATATTAGGTGAAATTCCATTTTACATTGTGAGGAACTCTTGGGGAACAGATTTTGGAAATAATGGATATCTGTATGTCAAAGTTGGGGACAACATGTGTGGTGAGAGTACTGTTTATCATTTATTAATCAAACCTATAAAAATATTACCCATTTTCTGTAAAATTCCAATGGAATGACGAGGATATTTATTTTTTTAGGTATAGCCTCAGAAGTTTCAACTGTAAGTGTAAACTGAACAGATGACCAATATGAAGTTGAAGTGCAAAATCCACAGGAACAAAGAAGTCAATTTGAAAAAAAAAAGTCATGATTCTACAATTTTGGGATGAAAAAAAAAACAACACCACCAAAACAGCTATTCATTTCAAAATTATTGATAAACATTAAACATGTTCCTTTAAGTTAACCTATGAAATATTATCAAAATTATGCAACTAATACCTTATGTAACTGTAATGTTATTGTGTATCAAGTTATGTAAATGTAATGATTTAAATGTGTATAGGAAAGAGAGAGAGAAAATCTTCTATTGCCCTTTGATAATTATTTTTTTATTTACATGTATAGAAATGCAATATGATACAAAATGAAATGTATTTTCTACATTTAAAATGCTTGCAGCAATCAGAATAATAAAAAACACTTATTTTTTTAATATTTTCTTCAGTGGTAATGATGTACCATGTATTGCCATCTAAATTTTTATTAAGAGGAAATGAATCCCTTCCCATTGATTTATACAATCAAAGAAGGCTTCAAAACGTTTTTGGAAAATCAAACGGGAAGCTTTAGTCACTTGTCAGCATTCCAAGGAGCATTTAATGAAACACCGTATATCTTCTTCTATAGGTTGGATTTTTGGGAGTGAAATTTTGGTTCAAAACCCCATGTTTGACTTATACGCAAGTTCTACAAAAATTGGCATTTTCTGGGAGGAAATGCAGTTATTTTGAAACAACTCCAATCATAATGGTTTACAGAAGGCCAGAAATTAATCTATTGCAGGAAAGGAATATGTACGGTTACCATATACAGTCGAACTTTGGTATATCAAACACCGATATCTCGAATACCATGGACATGTTGAAGTGAGTTGGAAACTTGGAAGTGCAAACCACTTTTTCTTTATGTATTTTAACCTTGATATATCAAATCCTGGGATACCTCGAAATTTTTCTTGGTCCCATCAAGTTTGAGATAATGAGGTTTGACTGTACATTAAACTCAAGTGCTTACAGATTTAAGTGATCTTATATTTGTTTCAATTGTTAATAAAAGATCTAATATAAATGTCAAACCACAAACATATTTGGAAACGTAGGCAAATACAATTATTAGAATAGTAGTCTGAAAAACAGATTCTAGCAAAAAACCGTACTGACTTGTAAGGGGACGACCATTTGATTCGGGGGGGGGGGCAAAATTTAATGAGTCAATTTTTTATCTTCATGCCAGTTACGGACAGATTATCTATTTTCAAAATGATCAAGGACAGATTATTTATTTTCTTCTTCTGTGAAAAAAGTTTGACAAGCAAAAAAAAAATTCTAAAAGGCTATTTCTTCGGGGGGGGGGGGGGGGGGGGAGCACTAAGTCAAGGACAGGTATTTATTTCCAAAAACTACCCCCTCTAATCAGATGGTCGTCCCCTAAGCAGGTCAATAGCAATTAATTCCTCCCAAATAATCTGAAAAAATACAACTGACTTATAAGCAAACCGACTTATAGGTGAGTGTATATGGTAGTTTTATTTATATCACATGTATTTATCTTTTCTCATTTCAAAAAATTGAATTTTTGATATATTAAAAATTTTAAAGCATTCTTTGATATCAGAATTATCAAAAACCAATTTTCTGATATCATATATAAAGTTTTTTGCTGTTAATAATTTTTTTTTTATCAGAAACTTTAGGCTTGAATCAAATATAATCTCCTGATGTCAAATATTTGAATTTTTTATATCTATATCGATCGATAGATAGATAGATAAACTTGAATTTTTGATATCAGAAAATAACTTAAATATACTAAAACGGCACCTCATACAACTTCAAGCTTTATAAGGGCCATGAGACCCCATTAGCAATTTCATATTCACTATCCCTGTAAACAGGTAAAATGATATTGTGCTTTCTAAAAATATTGCGCTCCTTCTTGCATTTCGGAACTTTCTTCTCTGTTGACAATTTCTTAGGTTTTTAATTCTATATTTTTGCATCCGGTAATTTACGCATGCTCATTTTTCAACTTCTATGGAAACAAACAATATGGTGGAAAGTTTGTAAGGTTCTTGCAAAGTTTTATGTCTTTTCCTCTCATTCATTTTGCAGTTGGTGTATTAGGATATTTTTGCGTGGGTATAGTTAGGGTTTTACATATAGCTTGATGCATTATATTTGTCTTCCGATGTCAAGACATAAATACGTCTTCAAATAAAGAAATTGTTGATCAGGATCCGGTTGCACAAACGTTAGTTAAATTAACTCCCAGTTAGTGTCGTAACTAGCTGTTAAATTTTTAACGACGAGTTACCTAACTGTCAGTTAAAAAATTGTTGTTCGAAAGTCTATTAAAAATAAATTAGCTAACTCACATTTAATTGATGTCTTATAGTTAACTCTCTGTTAAAACTGTTCTACACGCGAATTCCCCTTACCTATGGTGAAATATTTCTGACGTCATAATTAAAATGACGTCAATTCATAAATGTTTAAAATTTGCTAAAATTATTTACTTTTAAAAATGTTAATCTTATATTGGTAAAATATATTAAATGTATTATTAAAGATAGTTACTTCAAATATGAATTCTTACGTTGAAAGATAATGCATTTTTACATGCAAGTATAAACAATTAATGCAATTACAAAGTATGTATTCAGTATTAAGTTCTAACACGAGGCATTGATTTTTGGGAGGAGAAATTGAAAATTATTTTAAAAAACTCTCAAAAAGTTGGAGATGAACACCCTCCCTCCCCGTTTTACGTGCCTTAAGTTTGAATTGAACGATAAGCCTACTTTTTGGTTACTTGTCTGAGGTTAAAATATTTTTTAAAATGATGATCATTTTGATAAAATATAATGACAATTATTGTATGCATAATCGGATAAAAAAGTACCTACATATCCACTCATATGGAATATTTTCATCTTGTTTTTCTTTGCAGATAATATCGCAACATATATCCGCAATATATACATGTATAATACAATCTTGCCTAAATCGAAATGGGGATTAAATTTGCATGTTGCTCAAGTCAGATATTTCTATCATCTCTGTATAAGTTCTTCCTTCCACGCAAACAAGTTTTGAAATGATAACAAGTCCGCGATTTTGATTTTAATGCTTAGTTAAATATTTAATATACCTAGGTAACCTGAGTTAAATCTGTTAGTTAAATCAGAAAATTAATTAGGCTTTAACTGTTTGTTAACTTTTGTGCAACCGGTTAAACTCGCTGTTAAATTTAATGTCGCGTTAACGTAAAGTTAACGGCCAGTTAGATTTAACTAACGTTCGTGCAACCGGATCCAGCTGTTGATAGAATCTACTCTATTTAATTTATTCCAAATCCAAGTTATGTCCCTCAGTACATTTATTGGTTTCTTACATCTGCATATTTTGATGATTAAAAAAATGGAAAGCAATAGCACTGTGGAAGTTACCCAAGTGCATTGATAAATTTAATGTTCACAGGGCTGAATATAGGCCTAATTAAAACCAAAATATCCTAAAAGTAATGAAGTTGCCATCAAATTTTACTTGTCCGTATGTATTTTTTACCTGTTGGACTCTGAACCCCCTAATCATCAAGACTTCTTGAATCATAAAAATTTGTCGAATCATGAAAAATAAAATCATTTCCGATATAAAATAGCACCGTCTGTGACCTATAGTTAAAAACAAAAATGAGTGACTGACCAGTGTCTTTTTTGATTGCCCTCATCATACAATATTAGACTCCAAGCTATTATAGCTTTATAATCTTTCTCTTCATGCTTCTTTTTTTTTTGTTTTTTGTTTTGTCTTGAACTTCCTCAACATTGCCAGATAAGACAGATATATTATTGTTTCTTTTCCTATAGTAGTTAGTTGTGAACCTACACTTTGAAAGGTCCAGCAGAATGTTACTTGAGACATGGTTTTTTACTAGTTATAAATATGATGGCCATTCAGTTTGTAACATACAGGTAACATAGTAGCAAATTTTAAGCAAATCATCATCAAGTTTTATGAATTCTGTCAGGAATTTTTAAAAAAAATTTGTCCATATGTGTATGTGGATTGTAGAGATTGACTCAGTTGTCTGATTACAAAATAAACTTAACAGGACAATCTGACAAAGGTTGCTGTTGAGCCCTGGTTTATTTGTAATATATATATATAATTTTAGCAATAATTCATCTACAAGAATAAAATAAGCATTTTAAATATACATGTAATATGCATTTGATGTTCTGTTATGTTTGATTGTCATTCAATTGTATGAAGTTTAATTAGGATAAACAGTAGCATATAGGACAAAAACTGGTCATAAAAGACTTTCTCAAATTAAGTTGAAGAAAAGTTTTTTAAAAAATCAGTTCTAAACACACAAAATCTAGAATAAGGAAGACTTAAGCAAGTACTAAATATATAATATTATCCCATGTTTACCCCTTTATCCCGTGGATTTGACTCATTGGATATTTTTTTCATAACCCACAGTTAAGTGCAGTTGTGACGTCACAATGGTTTTTGCGTTAGCGTGATGAAGTAAAATAAAGTGGAGTCCTATATAAAACAGTGTAAAACATTGGTTGTGAAGTATTAAACATGGGATAAAAAGAATCTCCCATGATTTGTAGTTGGATATGACTTTTATCCAACTCGTTATGTGTTTTTTAACCCCTCGCCAAGGCTCGGGGATAAAAAACACACAACTCATTGGATAAAAATCATATCCAACTACAAATCATGGGAGATCTTATATATATATACCCTGCATCATCAGCTATCTAACCATATCTTACTTATCTTAAACCACATAAAATATTAATATCCAATGTCACAAAACAGTAAAAGAATTAGAGAGATTTTTTAATTGTAATTTTTTTTGTAAAGCTAAGAAAAGCAATATACCCTAAGTTACCTAAGTAAGCAATTTGAACAGGAAAGGACAATGTACTAACATATCTTAATAGGACCCCCTCCCCCCTTTAAGCCATAAGTGCCTCATGTATATGTACTTTTGTTTTACATGTTGACTTGACCACACATTTGGTTGTTTTGTTTTACATGTAATATTCTTTCATATTTTCAGGGAAGTAGTATAAAAAGAGTTGAAAACTAATCCAAAATGCCAATCACAAAGATCCCAATTGTCCACAAGTTTGGGATCATTTCCCATAGCCAAAGATTAGAACTTCAGGAGCGACTCTTGAAGCAGTCTTATTTACAGAGTATTCAAAGTCAAAAGGCCCTGGTAAAGTCCAGGTATGATATATATACTATGTAGTATAGACTGTTAACAAAATGTTATACCTTAATTTAAACATTTGTCAACAGACTACAGTGTTAATACAAGAGATTACTCATGTCAATCTTGTTTTCAGTAAAAATCCTCTTGAAGTATCAGAAGAATTTATTCGAAATTACAACAGTAGCCTCAGTTTGGAAGACAGGGAGAAATATGAAGTGACAGCTCACAAAATGTTAGAGAGAGCAAAGGTACTTGTTATTTAACTGATGTTAGTAATAGTGAGGAGTTATTTAACATTTTTGTCTGCTTGTATTGATGTGCAAAAAAACATTTTCAGAGAAGAGCAGGGCTCAAGAACTGTGGTGTGGGACCATATGTCAATCTCCCTATGGCGTGGACAGAACTGGCTCAGTTGGCACAGTGTAAAGGAAAAATTCAAGAGGGTAAAGATTGGATGGAGTGATTTTAATGCACTTCATTTTTAAATGCATAAGATTAAAACAGTTAAAATTACATTTAAAGTCCATATAATTTTCAATTGCACTGTAAATGAAAAATAAGGTAGAGATGTTCAGTTATATTTCAAAATTCATAGTAAAAGTAATCTCTTGTAATTTAGAGTGCTTAGATGTGCTAATTACCTCCCTTGACCAGTCTCCACTGGAGAAATATCATATCCCTGCACTGTTTTTCCTGGCTGAAACCATGCTTTACTGGCTGCGAACAGACGCTGTGCATCAACCATATCTTCGTACAGGGGAAATTAAACTACTGAAGGTATGCTTAGCAGGAGTGGGGTTTCTTATGCTTTAGTATAAAATTACAAGAATTGTAGAAAGAATAACTTAGTAAAAATTTTTCTGTGTAGCTGAGCTTTAACTATATTCATAACAAGATATTTTCAGTGAACCTATTTTTGTAAAAGAGACACACTTTTGCAATGCAAAAAAAATTTTGGTATTGAAAATTTTGTTATGTTTAAGAATTCACTTTATTTTAATAGTTTTTATAATCCTGTACATACATTCTTAAAATTATTGCCTAAAGATACACCAGTAATGTATATATAATTTTGAAATATTCACTTCATACTCTACAAGGGAGAAATAATACTTCTAATGCCTAACATGTATGCTGTTATAGATGGGACAACTGACTTTTACAAGATTATTTTATCACCACATGGCCGGACAACTTCAAGGACAAATTGAATTCAAAAATCGACTCTTTACCTACTTAGATGGTAAATATTATCCTTATATTTAAAATAATTTAATGATACACAAAATCTTTGTTGTTTAGTAATTTATATGTAATATAACATATATAAGCATCTACACATTATCTCTATTACCCACTGTAATTTGTACCGCAGAGACATTTGTCAGTTAATGTATTCTTCCATAAATACAGTCAACCCTTGTTATCTTGAACTCGATGGGATCAAGATTATCTTTTTTATCCAAGAATTCGAGATAATGAGGGTAAAAAATACAAAGAAAAAGTAACTGGGACTGCCAACTCACTTCAACACATCCCTAGTATTGGAGATACCAATGTTTCAGATAATGAAGTTCAACTGTACAATATACAAAATGAGAATATTTATATATAATCATCTGTATAGGTCTTGGTGATTGTCAGGAAGCATACAGTCCATATCCAAATGCCCTTCTGTCATTGCGCTTCATTGTATCTGTGGGTAAGATCATCATGGCAGACTCCCAGGTGGAACCCGGGGAAGTGAAGGAGGGTGATAACATGTCCATGTCAAAACCTAGGACCCCCCTCAGTAGACCTAGTGCGGTAAGTAAAAGTCTACTGTTATCAGAAAGCGTCTGTTAGACTTGTTTATACAGTAAAACACGGTTATTGAGGACATGCTTACAATGAATTCACACATATACAAGAGTGATTTTTATTCCCTTGAAGTTTTAAAACATATTATGAAATCAATGGATATAATGAACTATTTTTATAACAAAGCAAAATTATTTGTCTCTGTTACTACTGACCAGTATTATGAATATGCTTAAAAACTATGAAACTAATGATACCTTAACGAGGTTGGATCCTGATATTTAAAGTCTTAAACTTTTTTTGTCAAGTATATTTTTAGTTTCTACACACATAGCTCAATTAAAAATCAAAACAAAAAATGGGGGTCAATATGCTTCTTTTGGCGCTATAGTACATTTAATATGACCTTTTTGCACTGAGATTTGTGTCTTAATCAAAAATCACATCTTCGTCGTTTTCCCTCCAATGTTTTCATCCAAATAAATCATGGGACAAAATAAACTATTAGTCTATTTAAAAAAAGACACTTTAAAATTGTGACTAAGAAAAAGTTTCAAATTGCTTCGCATATTCAATTATTTGACCTTTCTGCACTCAAAAATGTGATTTTTCTGGCATTAAAAATTTAACAAGCAAGAAAATTATTTTAAAGTCTTAAACTTTTGCTGAATTTAGGCAGATTGATCAAAGTTATCTTATATATTCAGAAAAGAAAAACAAAAGTGGGGGTCTATGATGTAAATTTTTAGATATTACTAAAAAAAAGTGTTATTTTTATGTTAAAATTGGCTAAATTTTTCCTGGACTTTCAGAATATATTTACTTTATTTGTCAAAATACACAAGTATAAAGAAAAAATTCATAAAAAATAATTTAATAGATATTTCAGAACCAGCATAAAACATTTCACTGCAAAAAACAGCTCTGTGTGCAAGCAGCATGGAAAAATAGGAATCTAAACTTAACAGTACTGTATATATTTCAAAAGAGAAAAATTGATCATTTTCTCTTAAAAAAACCTTCCGCCACAAAATATAGTTCCTGGCATAATCCTATTTGAATGGAATTTAATTGGGGTTTTTAGCTCTTCTCAGCCAAAGGCTCAAAGAGCTAATGTTATGGCCATTTGTGCGGCGTGCGGTGTGCGTAAACTTTTTAGAATATGGGCCATAACTGGAGAACCCCTTGGCCAATTATTGTCAAATTTGTCACAGGGTATCCTTGGTCCAAGGGCTCCCTTTTATACTAAAACTGGGGTTGTGACCCTTTAACAAGGGGAGATAATTAGGAAAATAGAAACAAAAGTACTGGTTGCTAAAAAATCTTCTTCTCAAGAACCACTGGGCAGATTATCACCAAACTTACACAAAAGGATGAGGATATGTTGTAGATTTAAATTTGCATGGGGATTTACCCTGGGGCAAAGGGCGTGGTCTCAAGGTCACTTCAAAGTTGACCAAAAATTACATTTTATTAAAATGTTGATATTTTGCTTACTATAAGGACTAGGATCATCAAATCTTGTCAGTTGATGCATCTAAGGACCTCATATCATATTGACTCAAAAGTAGGTCACGGTGACCTACTTTTTAAATTTTGCGGCCATTCTTTTTCAAAATGATTAAGAGGCATATTTTGAACAATTTAAGGCCTATGATCATCAAACTTTGTCAGTTGATGCATCTTGGGTCCTCAAAGTACGTCAACTAAAAAGAAGGTCACCTTGACCTACTTTTGGAATTTTATGGCTAATCTTTTTCAAATCAATTAAGGTCATTAATTCGAATACCGAGAGGTTTAGAATCATTAAATCTTGTAAGATGATGCATCTTGGGGCCATAAAACATATTTATTAAAAAGTAGGTCATAGTGACCTACTTTTTGAACTTTGCAGGCATTCGATTTCAAAGCATTTTAGAGGCATATTTTGGACATTTTAAGTCCTATGATCACAAAAATTTGTAAGTTGATGCATCTTGGATCCTCAAAAAAGGTCAACTGAAAATTAGGTCACCGTGACCTACTTTTCAAGTTATATGACTATAATTAAATATTTCAGGTACTAATTGGCTTAGAATCATCAAACTTTGTCAGTTGATGCATCTTGGGTCTTCGGAGTAGGTCGACTAAAAAGTAGGTCACAGTGACCTACTTTTCAATTTATATGACTATAATTTAATATTTCAGGTACTAATTGGCTTAGAATCATCAAAACTTTGTCAGTTGATGCATCTTGGGTCTTCGGGGTAGGTCGACTAAAAAGTAGGTCACCGTGACCTACTTTCGAAAATCTATGGCTTTAATTAAATAGTTTGGGTACTAATTGGCTTAGAATCATCAAACTTTGTCAGTTCATGCATCTTGGGTCCTCGGAGTACAACAACTGAAAAGTAGGTCACGTTGACCTACTTTTAAAAATTTGTGGCTTTAATTGAATATTTTGGTACTTATTGGCTTAGAATCATCAAACTTTGTCAGTTGATGCATCTTGGGTCCTTGGCGTACGACAACTGAAAAGTAGGTCACGGTGACCTACTTTTGAAATTTTATGGCTGTATTTAATATTTTTCAGGAATTATTGGCTTAGAATCATCAAAATTTGTCAGTTGATGCATCTTTGGTCCTCGGAGTAGGTTGACTGAAAAGTAGGTTACCGTGACCTACTTTTGAAAATTTATGGCTTTAATTAAATATTTTGGGTACTTGTTGGCTTAGAATCGTCAAACTTTGTCAGTCGATGTATCTTTGGTCCTCAGAGTACAGCAACTGAAAAGTAGGTCACTGTGACCTACTTTTGAAAATTTATGGCTTTAATTAAATATTTCAGGTACTAATTGGCTTAGAATCACCGATCTTTGTCAGTTGATGCATCTTGGGTCCTCAAAGTCTGTCATCTGAAAAGTAGGTCACTGTGACCTACTTTTGAAATTTTATGGTTATAATTTACAAAATATTTTAGGTATTAATTGGCTTAGAATCATCAAACTTAGTTGATGCATCTTTGGTCCTCAGAGAATGACAAGTGATAAGTAGGTCAGCATGACCTACTCTCAGGTACTAATTGGCTTAGAATCATCTTTGGTTCTCAGAGTGTTTCATCTAAAATGTAGGTCATGATGACCTATCTTTGGAATTTCAAGGCTTTATCTAAATATACAGGATACTTAGAGGCTTCAGATGGAAGTGATAGGTTGTACAGTTTATCAGAAGAGCGATTCAAGGCCCTTGGGCCTCTTGTTTCATTGAATATAGTTTAATTTGCATTGTAGAATCCAGATTTAATGTTTGAACTTAAAAATGATGCAGTATTTTATAAATAAAAGTCCAGACCAAAATCTGCTCAAAAGCTCAGGATCGAACCTCCTTAAATACTTTTATTTCAGCAATACAGCAGTAAGGGCACCAGGGAATCAAGTTCCAATAGACATGAGCCTCGGGAGAACTCCCAGTCAGCACACAGTGCAGGTGCCATTAGTAGCAGTGTCCATGATTTGAGTCCCACTCTTTGGCATGCCCTGGATGTGTGGAGATGTACAAACCACTTAGGAGGGGGACTGGCAGAGGCACTGAGAGCTCTGGCTACCTGTGGAATGGGACTGTCCAATGAAAACTGGTACATGGTTCTTGCTGAAAACACACATCTTACAAATGGCTGATGTTTTATTGTTTATTTGGGACTTAAATGCCTAACTCAACATGTAAGTGCTCTTTAGTAAATAGCTCTGGGTCTGCATTGTAGGGTTGACACAATGGTTGCACTACAAATACTAGCTGAAGCAGGAAAGACAAACATTGCCGCAATGAAAATTCTTCACAGCTTGGCAAGAGGTGTAAGACCAAAGGTCAGAGGAGGTTCTCCAACCAGTACCTCACAATCAGATGCATCAGGTATGGAAAAACCTTGTGCAAACATACAAAATAATCTAAAACAAATAAATACTTAGAAGAAGGGCACATTATAAAGAAAAATATGAAGTTTTATCTCTTCTATTATGGTAGATGTGTATAGTGTATCCACTGATGAGGAAGAAACCCAGAAAGGGAGAGAATCAAGGATGAGTATTCCATCCAGCTCTAAGCCAACTCTGAGTGACATCTATGAAAGAAGTGAGGAAGACAAAGATTCAGAAAAGAAGCTTTCTAGACATTCTCGTAGAGGGGACATTGAAATGACACCCACAGAGCCAGAAATTAAGCAGTTCCCAATGAGAAGATCCAAACCAGTGGCCCTTAGTGTCGAGAACTTGGAAAAGTTTGATTCAAAACTGGCATCTAAGGACTCTCCTAACACTGGTTTGAAAGGACCTGGGCCCAGGGAGGTATCATTTGGGGAAATCAAGGGGGAAAGGTCTAACTTGACACGGGGATCAGACAGACCCAGGGTTACCCAGGAGTCAAAGCGTACTGGTAGTTTTATGACGGAGCCAGTTCCTGGTACAGGATGGAAGGCAGAGGTGGGATCTGATCTTCCAGAGGGAAGAGCCTCAGAGGCTAGCTCTGTACCCACCTATACTAATCTTCCAGTAAGTTTCAATATATGAGTCAACTATTTGTAAGATCATGGGTTAATTTATATTTGGTCATTATACTTTCTTTTGATTTTGTTTATAAGATGGTTTATGTATCTGCAGACTAAAAATATTTTTCTTTCAATTTTATAAGCACCGATACTTTTCTAGTCATCTTCTCAACTTGAATAAGAAAATTTTAAACAACTATGTTGCTATTTAAATTCAGACATGTATATGTAAATATTTATTTCTTTATCACAGCTTCAGGATACCCCAGGATTAAATGGCTGGCACTGGGAGGTGGCCATTACATACACTGACATTTTGTCTGACATCTGCCTCCATGGTAGCACAGCTGGGATACAGAAGATGGCCCTTATGGGTGTGAACAAGGAACTGACTGACCCCTTCCAGAGGGGTTTTGTTAGTATCCCCCTGATCAGTGCAGGATTGTTGGACCTGGCTTTCTTCCATGCTGCTAGTGAGGCTAGAGATGGAGGTTAGTTTAACTTTTTGTTTTAAATATCTCTTTAACAGAAAAAAAAACATGTTTAAGATAAACAGCTTTTTTGTGAATGTTGCTTATAAAGAAATTATACTTGTCAATTGTACAACAATGTAAACAAATTGCAGAAATACTCATAATAAATACATGTATTTGGAATATAAGTAAGTTTTGATCGGTGTACCACATACTTTTTATTTTCTCACTTGACAGGGCCCAATGACTGGAGTTGGAGGATTCGCTTTGGTTCTATTCAGTCTCTGGTAAAAATTTGCCGATGTTTATCTTCTGACAAAAACAGGGAAGGAATGAGAACAGCGGCGTGGAACATTCTGATCCGAGCTCACTCCATGGAGAAGGATGACAGGGTCCTTGAGGCCCTAAAAGTCGGACAGGTAAGGCTGTAAAAACTGTAGAAAGCACACAGAAAGTTAATCTTCCATCTTTTCTCATACTACCCTGAGTCTGCAAGGTATTGTGTTGCATTTTCTTAGTATATATAGAACAATTAATTTATAGGAATACCAACATGTTCAGTGCATCTCAGAGAAGTAACTTTCTATATAATTTTCTTCTTCTTTGGTTTTATTTGTCTTTTTTAGGTCACCTGAGTCACTCAGGTGACCTATTGCTATCTGTTTTTGTCTGTCGTCGTTCGTCGTACGTCGTTCGTCGTCAATCGGTCGTAAACTTTTGAACATTTTTAGCTTCTTCTCTGGAACCACTGAACCAATTTCAACCAATTTTGGCATATAGCATCTATGGGTGAAGGGGAGTAAAAATTGTGAAATTCATGGCCCCTGCCCCCCTGGGGCCTGAGGGGTGGGGCTAAAAACATCAAAATTAATGCAATCTTTAAAAATCTTCTTCTTTACTCCTGGACATCAAGCAGTCAAACTGTTGGCATGATTGTAATAAGCATTGAGCCCTCTACCAAAATTGTGAAATTCATGGCCCCAGGGTCAGGGGTTCTGGTGCTAGGGCGGGGCTGTAATGATTATATAGTGAAAATGCATTAATTCTTTAAAAATCTTCTCCTCTGCTCCTGGGTATTAAGCCGATGAATTAAGTACATAGTTATGATGAGCAAGAGTGCCTCTTCCAAAATTGTGAATTTCATGGCCCCAGGGTAAGGGGTTCTGGTGTTAGGGCAGGGCTCCAATGAATATATAGTGAAAATGCATTAATTCTTTGAAAATCTTCTCCTCTGCTCCTGGGTATTAAGCCGATGAATTAAGTACATAGTTATGAAGAGCAAGAGTGCCTCTTCCAAAATTGTGAATTTCATGGCCCCTGGGTCAGGGGTTCTGGTGTTGGGGCGGGGCTCTAATGAATATATAGTGAAAATGCATTAATTCTTTAAAAATCTTCTCCTCTGCTCCTGGGTATTAAGCTGATGAATTAAGTACATAGTTATGATGAGCAAGAGTGCCTCTTCCAAAATTGTGAAATTTATGGCCCCAGGGTCAGGGGTTCTGGTGTTAGGGCGGGGCTCTTATGATTATAAAGTGAAAATGCATTAATTCTTTGAAAATCTTCTCCTCTGCTCCTGGGTATTAAGCCGATGAATTAAGTACATAGTTATGAAGAGCAAGAGTGCCTCTTCCAAAGTTGTGAATTTCATGGCCCCTGGGTCAGGGGTTCTGGTGTTAGGGCGGGGCTCTAATGAATATATAGTGAAAATGCATTAATTCTTTAAAAATCTTCTCCTCTGCTCCTGGGTATTAAGCCGATGAATTAAGTACATAGTTATGATGAGCAAGAGTGCCTCTTCCAAAATTGTGAATTTCATGGCCCCTGGGTCAGGGGTTCTGGTGTTAGGGCGGGGCTCTGATGATTATATAGTGAAAATGCATTAATTCTTTGAAAATCTTCTCCTCTGCTCCTGGGTATTAAGCTGATGAATTAAGTACATAGTTATGATGAGCAAGAGTGTCTCTTCCGAAATTGTGAATTTCATGGCCCCTCTTGGTGAGGGGTTCCATGTGGGGGGGGGGGGGGGCTTTTTTTCTATATACTGAAAATAAATTAATGCTTTGAAAATCTTCTCTGCTTCTGGGTATTGAGCTGATGAACCAAGTACATAGTTACGATGAGCAAGAGTGCCTCTTCCAAAATTGTGAATTTCATGGCCCCTTGGTCAGGGGTTCCATGTTGGGGGGAGGGGGGGGGACTTATTTATTATATACTGAAAATGCATTAATGCTTTGAAAATCTTCTCCTCTGCCCCTTGGTATTAATTAAACAAACTAAATACATAGTTATGATGAGAAAGGATGCTTCTTCCAAAATTTTGAATTTCATGGCCCCTGGGTCAGGGGTTCTTGAGCTTGGGTGGGGTTCTATTGATTAATTAATAGCAAAATGCATTAATGCTTTGAAAAACTTCTCCTCTGCCCCTGAGTACTAAGCAAACAAGCTAAATGCAATAATATCAATGTAAATACATGTATTAAATTTAATTATAAGTAAATGTGCCTTTTCTTTGCTTGTGGGTATCTAGGAGGCAGAGTACACAATTGTGATGTGAAGCAAATGAGAGTTACTCCCCTTTGCTAAATATTGTTAATCAAGAAATCCTTGTATATAATTTAATTAACAGGTTATTTGATTGAATGAGAATACAATAAAAATGAATGTTTGGTTTAAATGAGCAAAGTATGTTCAAAGTCAGATTCTTGCCTGGAAAGCAGTATAAAAGATTGACATAAAGATTATTTATATATTTAGCAAAAGGTATAATTGTACACAGTATGTATACTCTGTGGTGATCTAAGTTAGTGTCACTTGTATCTAGGAGTTGTGGTTGACAGGAGACTGGATGTTGTTTTATACTTTATCAAAGTGAACAAAGAATCACAGAGAGCCAGAGTGACTTATTGTAATTAGTGACAAGTGGCAAATAACCACATTGTATATACCCAAGTCTGTGTGTACTGAATTGTAGCACTAGGCAAGTGACAAAAAATATCTGTATATATTGAATACCTTACACAATAGGCAAGTGTTCTTTGTATTTGTATATTTTGCATTCATTATCATCCCTGTAAGACTTAAAAAATATGATGTGAGATTTGCCTTACTTATAGATAACATTTGTCGAGGTGAGCTTCGTAATCTTTGATTACCTATGTTTGAAATTCTTGGGCAATATTGCTTCGTCTATCAGTTAATTTTGTTTTATACTTCCATGGATCCTTTAGTGTTGTATTATACTCAGGTGACCGTTAAGGCCCTTGGGCCTCTTGTCTTAAATTAGGAAAGCAACTGCTTAATTATTCCAAAAGTAGGGTAATGCTAAGTCAAAATTCCTTTGATCAATGATGAAATATTTTCTCTATTGTAGGTCCACACTGACTTGGAGAATCTTCTGGCAAAGAAGGACACAATCACTCCTGCGACTATCGGTTCTAAAATTGCCTCTGGTACATGGATGTTTCTATATTGCTCTTGCTTCTCACATATACATAACTAAAACTGTAGTTTTCTAATGTGGATAAAAAAATTCCATTAAAGCTACTCTCTTGCATTCTGCTGACATTGCAAGTGTTACATCTTTTCTCCTTGTTCTGTTCTTTATCAATTTGTTTTCACCTTTAGGTAATCAAAAAAAAAAAAACAAATAAATAAAAGCGAAAAAAAGAAAAAGAAAATTTCTGCTGTCACAATTCTGTAAATGTATTATAATTAGTGCATATGATATTAGGCTAAAATTGATTTTTGAATAAGTTAGTGTTCATTTGATTTAGTGCATTTCTTAATGTTCTTATTTATGTGTACATGTGCAAGACATTAGCATTGTACTTGAACTAGCGGAAGTTGCTTTCCGCCAAAGGCGCTAAAATGAATACACAGCCAAATGTAACACTTTTACAGTATTTTCTTAATGTTCATATGAGGAGTCAACCCTCAGATTTGTGTAGAGTGATATTGACTGTTTGTTGATGGTATCATTATACATGTGCCTTTTTCCTTTTTTTTCACCAGGGTTATCTACAATTTACTTGCCTCCATTGCCCCCTGCAGTAGAACCCTACATCCCCCCTTCAGCTAAACAGAGTCCCCGCACGCCCCTTCACAAGAGAGAACAGGCACCTAAAGCTGACAAGAAAGCAAGGACTTCTCTTAAGTAAATATTATTACTAATTCATTGCTTCATACCTATGAATTTATCTATGCATAAATATATAATAAATAAATAAATATCTGAATTGAATTTAAAATGGAAGGTAGTGTAAAAAAAATTTTCTAACTGAAAGGAATAATTTTGGAATATTTCATATCAAAAGAGCTGAGAAAATATTTTTTTAACCGCAGAACTCCCTGTTAAACTGTTTACGTTTTAACAATTGGGAGTACAGAAAAAAAAAACGCTTTTAGAGAAGCACCATGGATGACCAATTCTGATTCATCATAAACATAATTTGTTATATCTGTTAAATTCATGATATGTTTAAAACTACAGGGAATGAAAATCACTTTGCTACAAATTCATAATATATGTGTTTTTGTGTTATCATGCTTTACTGTATGTGCAATTCAAATCTGAAAATTGCTTTGCTGTATTTTAGGGAGGAAATAATGCTAGCCACTGCTCTGTATGAGGAGCCTCCAGACTTCAAGACGAGGACAGGATTTGATCTGAGGAGGATTGTAGAGGACCAGGTATTGATTCACACAATTGGTTTTTTTTTTTATTATTTTAAGATTTGACATTTAATTTAAAATGAGTAATACAGTGAAAACTGTCTGATCTGGCACTTGTGCAATCCGATTCACTGTGAATTCCAGTTTCATTCCCATTTTACTAATTTTCCATGTTCTTTACACTGTGTGATCCAACACCCTGTCTAATTCCATACAAAATTTTTCTCCCAGTGTATGTTGGATTAGACAGGTTTCACTGTACTTACAATGACTTTGGATGTGTAAAAAAGGTTTACAGGAAATACATTATTTGCATGACAAATCTTACATCTCAGGTTTTTAACATGAATGCTGCAGTGAGAATATATGATCATGCAACATTTAATGAACTCCACTATTTATATCAATGATTTATTTTTTCCTCAGTGGAGAAAAGAGCTTCAAATTGAGTTGGAGGCAGAAGAGAAAGAAAGACAAAGGAAATTAGAAATTCAGCAGAAAGAGGAAGAGGAGAGACAGAGAGAAATAGCAGAACTAAAGGCTGGAAAGTTTAGGACGAAGCCAAAGGAAGATATAAAACAGACAGAGTCAAAGGAGGAAGGGAAAGCAGATAAAGAATGTTCTGGGGAGGATCAAAAGCAAGGGGCAGGGGTGGAGAATGCAGAGGAAAAGGGTGAAAAAATGACAGAAGAGTAGGACTAAGCATTAAATGTTCAAAACTGTTGTGTTGTTTAAATCTGTGATAGTCTGTTATGTGCTGAATCTAAGACAGCAGTTTAAAATATCTATTAATGGATTTATTAAAAGGTGTGAATAATTTGTGTAATGAATATAAAACCTCTGTGAGAAAAGTATGCTTTGTTTTCTCTGCAACCAAGTTTTGTTTTTTAAAAAGAAGTTTATACATTGTGTGTAATTTATATTTGTTATAAATATATATATATATATATATATATATTTATTAAATATCCAACTGTGTATCGGTCAATATCTTACTGTTGCTTTCATGTACACATGATGATGTGATCTAACTCATGGATCACCATACTGTGGTTTTCTGAACCCATATCACTCCTCTCTGAAACTGATGACAAATGCAGTGGCATATAGCTTGGGGTCAATCAATGTGGAAGCAGAAAATCACAGGAGATGTAGGGGCCAGCATAAATCCCCAATGAGATTGAGGTAGGACTGGGATGCAAAGCCCCTGGAACCTTAGGTGCATTTTAGACAGTTGACAATAGACAATTTTAAAGTCCTGAATAGACATTATCCTTCAATATCAATTAAATTGATATATTTTATTAACAATTTAAACAAATACAAGAACATTTAAATCTTTATAAGTACTTTTCTTATATGCATGTTATATTTGATCTTCATTACCTGCATTAGATTAAGTTCCGCTCTTTACAATTATCGTTGGAGTTGTTACAATATTACTATATTTCCTGGTCCAGAAAAATTCCAAATTTTCTAGGACCTGCCTTTAAGACTTTTGGTTCAAAATGTAACTCCCAAAAATCTGACTTATAGGCGAGTACAGTGTATATATGGTATTCATATTAAACATAAATTAATAAATTAAAACATTAAACAAATATTTAGAATTTTTCTAAAATTCAGTATATTCTTTGGAGAGTAACCCCAGGTATTTTAATTTTAAAGTATTTTAGCATTTTATGAATTCATTTTTCGCCCACTGAAAAATTTGGAAGCGTGCTTCTATGCTTCCATGGAAGCTAATATGCCACTGATTGACACTCGGAGCTCCTCAGGTGGCTCGTACCTTGCACACTTACCTTGAGGTTTGAATGGGGCATTGCGGAGTCAGCCGAGGATTGCCGATTGCTGATATGTGACACACTGTGTACATTTTGTTTTTCCTTGCCTATCAAAAAGTTCCCTAAAATATGTTTTATTTACTGAAAAAAAGATGTGTATAATATATATTGATCCCAAACATTGTCTTTTGCTGGTACAGGGCTCTCACACCACTTTTTGGGACCGGGACCGTACAAATTGGGAAAATTAGCGACCTTTTGGAGAATTTTGGGAAAATCATGACCAGACATTATACATTATATTCATGATATATTGAGTTTCTGGTGGTTGTTATCAACTAAATTTCTGTTTTGTAACACAGGGAAATATGAATTACAGGTTTAGTAACTACATATCTTCCTAAATGTTCTTAAATATTTGGGGAAGTGACAGATTGGGAAAATTAACACATTCAATTGGGAAAAAAGATAACTTTTTAAAATTGGGAATGGGGCCTTTGAACGGCCCCAAATAAAGAGAATCGAGAGCCCTGTGGTATATACCAAACTATTGATAAAATGCTGATATTTATAGCTAACTACCATATATATATAAGCAGAATTTTTAGCAAGGATTCAATTTTGGCATTATTAGTGAGGGTGTTGATCGCTAAAATTGGATATCATTAACTATTCATTCAGCACTGGTAAGGAGGTAAATTTAAGCTATCTTGCAAGATACTTCAAATCGTTAAAATAACTTCTTGCTAAAATTATATACCGATTTTTATGGCGTAATCGCTAAATCTGCATCTTACTAAATAATTTAACTTATAGGGTATATTGGGGTATATAGTAAATTTATCTATCACAATTATACAGTAACTTATTTGAAACTAGTTTAAATAAGATCCTTCTGTAAAAGGTAGCCCAGTCAAAAAAGAGAGATGCAGCAGGACCATCAACTAACGTGGAATATTGTGGTCTTTCTTCAAAAGTTTTGATACACTGGTGGTATTGGCCTCCCTTTTGACCTAGCTAGCTACCTTAGTCAAAGTGATCCTTCAATGGGTCAAACTTTCCAACTGACATACGTAATATATTCTACTAATTGTAGCATTACTTTCCACACACTCACCATGCACATACATAGATAGAACGTTCTATCGTTAAAATGATATATACAGTACATATATGTATAACGTGCGTGTTATATCCACGTCTGTGTTTAGATGCAGCTATACAGGTGTATATATATATATATATATATATATATATATATATATATATATATATATATATATATATATATATATATATATATATATATATATAGGCCCTACATGTATATAGTACATGTATATATACGTCCCTGATAATATAGGTATTCTATATTTTAAAAATTCGGCATTCATTTTTTTATAGAAAGAATTTATGAGAAAAGTTACTGGCTGTTACCGAGAACAACACTTTAACTTAAATATAGCAAAGGGGAATTCCAATCAATAGTTTCAATACATACTATCGACCTTCACCTCGCAAAAGCATGTGATTTTGGGTGTGTCTCCTCCGCCAATGAAAACGAAGACAGCAAACACGTCACTTTTCGGCAAAATAAGCTAACCTGTTGCCTCTGAAGAGAACATCTCTACTGTGAACGCAATATTCTTGGTGTTGTGTGAAATTTATCTGACAGTGAGGTACAGTATTTGTTAAGAAATCACTTAAAGTATATAGTTGATGTAATACCTGTTTATATTGAGTCACGTCTAAAAATAGCACTGGTAACATGGCGTGAATAGATGACTTAAGGCAAAGCCCGGTATTAGGTATATTTAATAGAATTATCAAGACTGTGTGCATGAATGTGGTGTACTGAAAATAAGTACTGCCAAGAATGTTCTGGGTTTGATTATGAATGAATGATGCAATGAAATATCGATCGATGGATACGTGTACTTTAGTTTTACGGAAGATTTCACGTTAGGGGTAATTTCGCCCTTGTTAAACGAATTTAAACATTAGACGATGATTGAAGAACACATAATCGATTAATGCGGCGTAACATATTCTGTGTAATTACATTATGCATAAATATTTATTTAGGTATTTCTGTATTTGATAAAATGAATCGGCTACGTATAGTGCGACAGATAAGAAAGTGAAAAAAATATTGATTCTAAATAATTATATCAAAATTTTCATTTATATTTCTGTTTACATTATAACTAATGTAAAATCTCAACAATATGAAACAATCTCATTTATCTACACACACTAGAAAGAGAGCAAAAATGGTCATTTCTTCATACTATTAGCACATTTTTTAATGAGTGGATTTTCATCTATATTTTTTTGTTCTTTTTAAAAAAATTTTTTTTTGAAAGTTTATCTTCAAAGTATGCATAAAAATTTAATTATAGGGGTAAAAGAGACATGAAGCAGAGACCCACTATGCATCTTAAAAATACACTTTTATGACAACTTTTGTATCCTTCCGAGAAATACAAGTCCATTAAAGGATGACTGCACTTAACGCCTATTTTTGGGTCTTTTTCGGTTGCTTCTGTTGCTTTTATATCTAAACCTTATTTCACTTTTGTATGTTTATGAAAGAATCCTGTCAATTTGGAACTGAATTTTAATCCTAAAATGATTTTTAGACTGACGTGATACAATGAAATGATTCAATGTTTTTTGTCCTTTCTGCTTTCCAATTATAGTAATTTACACTTACTTGCCCTAGATTGAACATTAGATATGCATGAGAGGTGGAGCTAACATTGTAAGAATGGGTCTAAAATTAGACTTGATAAATAACAATGGCATATGTTTGAAAAAAAGAACGTGATCACTCTTTCCAATCTCCCTCTCCATTCTGTATGGCACAAATACACTTCTGACAAAGGTTTCAAAATAAAATTAACAATATGAGCATGTCAATGTAATTAAAGCAGGTTTTATATCAATGCCAGATGACTTAACGTGTTCGAACACAATGTCCTAGTTAGCACAAAACATGCTACCTTACAACGTCACGTGACAGAATTTAGTATTCACAAAGTTACCTGAGGTAAGAAATCACATGGTGAATTATAATATTCAACAAGTCACAATCCTTGGCTACAACACAGAGAGTGAATGTAAGAAGAAGCAGTTTTTTCTCGTTTTAACCATGAGTGCATGCTTGTCTATTAATATCCTTTTGACACATTATTATTTATGCAAATATACATTACTGTTAAACATAGAACAATAGACAAACATGCGCTGACTATGTATAAAGTCAGTAAAAAAGTTACATAAAGTTGTAGATTGGATGTTGACCATTCTTGCAATGAAAAGAAAAGTGCTTCAGGGATCGACATTAATGGTTGTCCAATTGCTCAGGACAAGTTAAAATTCTCAGTTCGGGTAAGTGAAACTGTCGATGTACTTGTCTGATCGGGCAAGTGAATTTTTCTCATTGTATCATAATATGATTCTTATTGTTTTGAACCTTATGTCTGTCTAGCTGTAAATTTTTTACATTTTCAACTTTTTCTTAAGAACCACTCAGCCAATTTTAACCAAAGTTGGCACAAAGCATCCTTGGGTAAAGGGGATGCTTTTAATATTTCAAATGTAGAGTCAATCCCCCTTCCAAAGGGAGTTAATCAAGAAAAGTCAAAAATTGGGTCGGGTCATTAAAAAATCAGCCGATGAAGAACAACTGGACCAGAAAAGGTGACACTTTTTTGGAAGCTTCCTGGGGTGTATTGAAGATTCTAATTGCTCAAACATGGCTCCCAAGGGGTAGGATGGGGTCACAATGGGGAATCAAAATTTAACATTGAAATACATAAGAAAAATCTTCGAAAAAAAAATCTTCAAAAGAACAACTGGACCTTAAAAGTTGAAATGTATGTGAATTAAAGCTTCCTGAGGAGTGTAGATTCTGATTTTTTTTTTAATTATTGCCTCAGGGGGTACAGTGGTGTTACAATAGTCTAAAGATCAAAGCTTTTAGGCCACAAGCTGATTTTCATCCTAATTTATTTGCTTGAAAAATGGGATGGGTGGGTGAATATTTTCTTAATCTAAGAATTTCTACATAATGTTCTTTTAAAACAAAATTTTCACACTGTTTATGTCAGTATAGGTATTTTTTATTGTTTATCCTTCAAAGTATCTTCAGAAGATTCCTTTTTTTGTACATTGCAAAATATGGTGTGGCCATGGTTACCGGTACTAAAAATGGAAATTTTGTGAAATTCTTTCAAAGCACTTCCCTTCTACAGTTTTAGTCAGATTTTTTAATAAAACTTCATACACAAGTAAACTTCATTAAGATACACATTTCCCTCTATCAGTTTTTGATTTCGACGAACAGTGTTGCCATGGTGACTAAAAATAGAAATTTCTTTCAAAATGCTACTCCTCATTCAGTTTTTAGCTCATCTGAGCCAAAGGCTCAAATAAGTTTTTCTGATCACATTTTGTCTGGCATCTGTCTAGCTGTCTGTCCATCCATCTGTCTGTAAACTTTTTACATTTTCAATTCTCGAGAACCACATGGCCAGTTTTAAAAAGGGGGAGGAAATAAGCACTGCCATCAAATTTATCTGGTTTGTGAACCCCTGTCAATCAGCTGAAATTAAGTCTGAGATTGGCTACTAGAAACTGATTAACATTTAGTTTTCTGCCGTTGTGTATATCTTGTATACCTTGTCTGGCGATCGTGTCGATCATCAAATTAACATTTATGCTACCGCACACATGCCAGCATGATAAGAAGCAGCCAAAGCTATGATTTTTTTTTAAATTTATGATAAAAAAAGTGCTATTATATATATATTCAATCTATTAAATAATAAATTAAATGTTAAGAAAAATCATGCTTATGTATTTAAATTGCAATTTTTGAAAAAAGGGGGTTCGTTTCAATCATTATGTTAGATTGTCAAAAACATAATTTACACGTACATCAATTTTTAAAAAGAAAATACCAACCTGTGTTGGAAGCATCATATAAATTAATGTAATTATAATTCTATTTTTTTAGCTCACCTCAACAAATTTGCGGGAGCTTATGTAATACCGTCAGCGTCCCAGGTTAAAGTTTTTGGAGCAGATTTCTTTTCAAGAACTTATATGCCCTATATTAAAAAGAGATGCATGGAGGATGCTTCTAGTATGTTTCATTGTACCAGTCAAGGTTTCAGATGCTGCAATTTGGGCTGAAGAATGACCAGGTTAATGTTTTTGAAGCAAGTTAAAGTTCTTGGAGCAGGTTAAAGTTTTTGGAGTGGTCTCATTTCCAAGTAACTATAAGCCCTATATTGACCAAACTTGCATGGATGATACATCTAAGAATGCACATTACTGGACTTGCTACGAATGCTTGATCCGACCTTCATTTTCCGGTTGAGTGACCAGGTTAAAGTTTTTGGAGCAGGTCTCATTTCCAAGTAACTATAAGCCCTATATTGACCTAACTTGCAAAGGATGATACATCTTAGGATGCACATTACTGGAATTGCTTTGGATGCTGGATCTGACCTACATTTTCAGGATGAGTGGCCAGGTTAATATTTTTGGAGCAGGTCTCATTTCCAAGTAATTATAAGCCTATGTTGACCAAACTTGCATTGATGATACATCTAGGGATGTACACTACTGGACATGCTTTGGTTGCTGGATCTGACCTACATTTTCCGGATTAGTGACCATGGTTAAAGTTCTTGGAGTAGGTCTCATTTCCAAGTAACTTTAAGACCTATGTTGACCAAACTTGCATGGATGATACATCTAAAGATGCGCACTACCAGGCTTGCTTCGGATGCTGTATCTGTCCTACATTTTCCAGATGAATGACCAGGTTAAAGTAAACTATAAGGGCTATCTGAACCAAACTTGCATGGATGATGCATCGCAGGATAAACACTCTCAAACTTGCTTCAGATGCTGGATATGACTTACATTTTCTGGATGAGTGACTAGTTTAAAGTTTTTAGGTTAATCCATTACCAAGTAACTGCAAGCCCAATTGGACCAAAATTGCACAAATGTTACATGTAGGGATACACACTACTAGATTATTAGTTTGGGACTTTGCCTTACTTAAAGACAACATTTGTTGAGGTGAGCTCTGTAATCTCTGATTACCTATATTTTATAACTTCTATAATATTGTAATATTCTTCAAGGAAAAAAAGTGTCACTTCTCTTCGAGAAATGGTGACGAAAGTTATGGTAAAATAACCAGTTTTGGAAGATAGATTTCTTAGCAGTATTATAACACCTGGCTTTGCATGTAATGTTTAGAATTATGGGGAATTTCCAAGGGAATAAAAGTAGGCTAGTGAATTGATTCCTGAGCTGTCAGGGAACCCAACTGGGTGCTCTGACCATTTTTATAGACCATTAGCCTAAAGGCATGCATCATGGAAAAATGAAGTAGGAATTATTTTTAAAAAAATTTATCTTATTTATTATAATTTCTACAAAATTTAGCTCTAAACAGAATTTCTAAGTCTTTTTTACAAAGAGACTTGTTCAGGACCCCCCTTTTTTCGTACTTTCACTTCGCATACACGGACTGCATTTCCAATTTACTTTTCTTTGTGTCGCCAGCCTACAACGATGGATTATGGTCCAATATGCATTTAAACATTTCAAATCATAATTAACACATACAATAATATTGAATTTTCTATTTTATTCAATCATATTTTAAGCAAAATTCTGAACTAGGAATCTGTCCCTAACAAAATTTTAACATGCTTTATTTAAAAAATTTGACGATCAACATTTCGATTGACCTACACAAGAAAAAAAACGACGATGTTGTTTTACTATGTCTTTAGGAAAATGTATATATACAAGTGTGAATACAGGTAACATGCTGTGTATATAGGTAGGTATACACAAGCCAGCATTGTTCCCTCGGGGCATCACAGTCACAGTTAATAAGCTCCTCCCCACACCAAATTTACCTGAGGAAAACTGACCGGTTGAAAACCTCTGCATTTAACCAAACTTGCCACAAAGCATCCTTGGGTAAGAAAGTTGGAGTTTGTGAGTAGGAAGTGCCACACCCTCTTTCCAGGGGAGATATAAAGATTTTGTGAAAATTTGGTGGCATCTTTTAAAAATCAAGAACCACTTGGCCAGAAAAGATGAGACAATTCTAAATTGTTCAGGTCATAGTCATCGGGGTAGAGTGGGGCCACTAGAGGGAGAATCTTAAAAAATTTTTCAAGAACCACTGGACCAGAAAAGCGGAAAATTAGAAGAAAGCTTCCAGAGGTAGTGTTGATTCTAAATTGTTCGCAACGTGGTCCCCAGAGATTGGGTGGGGCTACATTAGGGATTATATAAGGAAAAAATTGCTAAAAGTCCCCTTCACAAGAAAAGTAAAACTTTGATGAATCATAGTTTATAGTAGAAGCAACCTCTGGTAGTGTAGATTTATTTTTGTTCAAATCAAGTCCCCTGTTTATAGCCTGGGGCCACAAAGGGCAATCAAAATTTCACATAGGAATACATGTTTACAGTAAAACATGCTTCTAACGAACACACTTATAATAAATTAACGCTTATAGCCAAGTGATTTTCATTCCCCATGTCTTTAAAATATATTTTGAAGTTATCGGATATAATGAATAATGTTTATAACGAAGCAGAATTGTTCATCCCTGGCACTTCGTTATAAGCGTGTTTTTTAATTACTGAATTTGGAACAATTCTGATGTAGAAAAGTAGGGCCAAAGTGACCCAGGTGAGCATTGTGGCCCATGGGCCTTGTGTCTTCTTTTGTTTAGTAAAAAAAAACAAAACAATCTATTTTTTTGTGTGACCCAACAAAAATTAATTTTTAAAATTTTATTTAAAAATAACTTGAAAGAAACTGACCCAGGAATGTAATTTTTGGACAGTATTAAAAGACTTTCTACAGAGAATTGTTTTCATGAACAGTGAGAAATATTTTCTTTACTGTAATAATCAGACCAAAATAAACACAATTAGAATTGATGTTTGGACTTTATGGATTAAAAATTGAAGGTTGAATTGATCAATATTAAATTAAGTTGATCCAAGTTATTCAATTTAGACAGGATCTTAAATGTGTGGTAGGATTTAACACTTGAGCTGTCAGATGTTGTAAATGATCTTTTATGGCATCTCTTTCTAGTAACTATTTAGCAATTTTCAAAAAGAATTTAATTCTCCTTTAAATGAAAGTTGAAGCATTTTCCTGTTTTTAGAGATGAGAGTCTCCAAGTCAAAAGAATGCATACAGGTACTCTTCAGTATTACCTTGAGTATCCTGGGGGTGGCAGCGAAGCCTAGGTGTGACCCAGAGGACAACATGTATTACCACCAACAGGCTGACCAATGCTTTCGATGTGATCGGTGCTACAAAGGGGAGGAGCCTATACCTTTGGAGGTATAAGTTATGTCACGATCAGTATATCTCCCATGTACATGTACATTAATTTATTCCCATAATTAAATGAAATAATTCAAGTCTTTAGCAATGATTTTCATTATATATACTCACATGTAAGTCAAGAGTATAAGCTATAAGTAATTAAATTTTGGGCTAACTTGGGAATTTCATGGCCTCTGGTTTAAAAACGTGAACCAAATTTAATTGTGGCAAAGTTATTACATTGATACTCAGGTGACCTATAAGGCCTGTGGGCCTCTTGTTTAATTTGCACCCATCCATACCAATATTCACATGAAAACATATATTCACATCAGAGTGGGGATATAATAGTGAACATTGGCTTACAGACTTCCTATTTTTCTTTTGCCTATGTCCAAAGTTTTTTTTTCAGATAATTTGAATTTTCTTCTCTGGCTTCCCTGGCACCCCCCCAGCACCCCCCTTTCAAAAACAATACTACATGCCTGAATTTGCAACTGATTTTAGAAAAAAAAATTGTACAGACTTATAAGCGGGTCATTGGCAAATTTCTCAAACATTATATGAAAGAATACAACTAAAAATCGAAACAACTTACATGAGTACAATATATACAAATATTTATGGTATGCACTCTGTAGCTCATGATTTATGATATCTCGAAAGAATTTGATTTTCAGCATGGAATGAATTGCATTGATATAATATTTGCAGTCAATCATCACTGTTCTTATTGTGTAGAGTTGGGAATTTAATGGGAATGGTGAGACAGGGCCCACTGAATGTAGACCATGTCGGAAATGTCGTCCGGGAATGTTCAGTGATACACGCTCCTTTGCATGTAAGCCCTGCAAGAACTGTACACTGTACAATCAGTATGAAACTGGCCAGTGTACAAATGAGCGAAACACCATTTGTGATGGAGTGAAGCCAACGACACCATATAGGTTAGCATGAAGTTTTAATATCAAATTGTTTTTTTTTAAAATATAGTAAAATTCTTGAAGAAGGATGAAAGTAAAGTAATTATAACATTTGTATCTTTTTTATTTACAGACCTAATTCTGAACCAGAGAGCAGTCCTGACAAAACTGGTAGGTATAGTATTACTATTGTGGTGGTTCAATCCATGGTGGCCAGATAGCTCAGTTGGTAGAGCACCTGACTCTGGGGGCCTGGCTTCCAATCCTGGTCTGGTCCGTCGCATTTTTCTCTTCTCCTGTTACACAATGAAGTGAGGGGGATATAGTAATGGGCTTGTGAGTGTGTGAATTAGTGGGTAACAGAAATGATAATTTACATTAGGATCGATGTGCTCTTTTGCAAGTGCATGGATGCATGCTTGTTTATTAGTACCTGCCTGCTGTTCCCTTCCCAATGTCCCAAATTAACTGTCTGTTCATGGGATCTTTGTAAATTAGATTAGACACATGGATATGAGTGTGTTTCTAAATTTTCAGAATTATTTTTGGTCACTTGAGTCACTCAAGTGGCTTATTGCTATTAGTACTGTGCATCGTATACTAGGGTTCAGGCTACAAGGCAGGAATTCTTTCTTCATTTATTGAAAATATATGTATCATTTACATCATTTAGCTTTCCACATCACAATGGCTCTTATGCCTATTCAGCACTCAAGTTCTCAAAGGTGCTAATTTCATAATAAAAACAAAAGTATTAGGCCAAATAAAAAAATATGTGTGGTTCCGGTTACCCGACCTTCCGTATTTTATACCCCCGACCCTAAACTTTTTTTTGGCAATTTTCAAATTTTTTCCAGAATTTCCCCCGATTTACATCAATGGCTCCAGTTTAAGTTTTAGTTTCAGCAATGACGGCCTCCTTGCAAAACATAGTGCAAGTGTTTAATAGTGTTTAATCCAAAGCAAGCTGGCATGTAGGTGTCCCCTACCAATATTGACTAGTATATTATCATACCGCATCTAAATGCCATTTGCAAAGCAGTGATAGGTAATATTTAGAAAAAATTTAGAAAATCATTTTGTTTAAAAAAAAAAAAAAAAAAAAAAAAAAAAAAAAATCCCTACCTACCTACCCTAATTTTTTTGGAAGTGTTACCGGAACCACACATATTTTTTTCTTTGGCCTTAATTATAAAGAGAGAAAATTTGAAAATGTAAATATAAGCATTGAGTTCTTATTTTTGGATGTGATTGGTCCTATAGCAGCACCGGTCTGTGTCGAAAAATTTTCATACCATGCTAATGTCAGCACAGACATGTGCTATTATTTACAACATCTTAAGAAAAAAAGAGTTCAGTGCCTAAATAAAGACATATTTTGATAAGATACGCTTTAAATATAATTTTAACTTAGTAGTATTTAATTCATATATAGAGAGAGTGCAGTGAAGAAAGGGTAATTTAAAAGGAGTAAATCCACTCTGTCAAGAGTTTAGACAGTATAGTGAGATGAGTGTCTAACTAATATGTTGACGGTGCGACCGTTGGGGCGAGCGCAGTGTTCACTTCATTATTATGATCCGCCTCTTCAAACCGCACGAGACATTTGGAACGTCTAGACTGTGACGTCACATGACGTCGTATGTTAGCTGCATTTCCATAAACAAAGTTTAAAAAGTGCAAATATTTTAACAAAGAACGTTTAATCTACTATCTGCATGCAATATCCATTAAATTAAGGTGAGTTTATTTTGTGTGAATTTTTAGTTGTTGTCACCGCGTGAACGAAGTTAGCAGCGAGAACAAGAAGCGATGCATTGTGGGTCAGAATTACTGCGGAAAAAAATTCTATTGAATGAATGTGCAGTAATCCGAATTTTCTCTTCGCCCAGGCGTTGTCGTTAGAGCTCGCAGTGACGAGCGGCGCTTTGCGCCGCTCACTGCGCTCGCTATAAAGTGAAGATACCATGTTCGAACGTTATGCAAATTATCCCACGTTTTGAACTATCGTTGATGCCCTGGCATACTCTACTAACTAGACAGTGATTCCTTAAATAAACAAACCCATATTTCTATGTAAATTCTATTTCAACTTTCCATTCCTAAAAAGTAACGGAGCGCTCAAACGAGAGTGATGTCACAAGTGGATTTTAATTTCAAAGATGCATTTCAATCAATGACACACTGAATGTAGACATTGTTGGAAATGGAGTAACCGCCCAGTTTTGATCTTTCAGGCACAGGGATAGACATTAACTTTCAGATTCACTTGCCCTTCGGGCAAGTGAACTCAAACTTGGACTTGTCCAAATGCAAAACTTGGTTGCCCAAACCTTAGAAAGAAGACAATATTTATCTTAATTTATTATTGTAAATAAAGTGAGATAGGTCTATTACTTTATATTTGGCAAGTTAAGTGCCCGAAAAAAAAATTGATGTGCTGCTCATGCTAAATTTTAAATACTTGTAAACTCACACAGCCATGCAGCAATATTTCCTTTAAAATAAAATTCATGTTTTTGAAATTATTATCTGTGCGATCTTTTTGTGAATTTTTATTTTTTTCCCCTGAAAAACTGAAGCAACGCTAAAGGAAAACAGTTGCCATGTTTCGAAACATACATATCCTGATCAGAATACTAGTACATCGTGTGCCAAGAATAACTGGTGTTCCTTATATTCTGTGAGTTAATACATAAACATTTTATAATATCTTATAAATAATAAGAATGTAAAGAAATTTGTCAGACAGAGAGCGTATTTTTGTCAACTACCACGAAAGAAAGACGGAATAACAAATCCAATTTTTTTAATAAACGGTATGATCTAGAAACGCTACCGAGGAATTTCCAAATGCAAAAACAATGTCAAATTCCTGGTAGAAATCAAATGTTCAATTTATTGTTTTGTTTATTAACTAATGTAAGATAAAGAAATCTATCAGAAATATTCACTTGCCCGATCGGACAAGTACACCAGCAGTTTCACTTGTCCGAACTGAGAATTTACTTGCCCCGGGCAATCGGACAACCGTTAATGTCGATTCCTGAGGCACCCCAAAATATATTGATGTGCATGAGTACCATGCCATGTTTTGGTCACATGAGTCGTGTACTCAGGTATATCTTTATCTTCCTTATTCCTGACTTTGAAAAGGTATATGAACAGTGCTCCAAATCACACTTACTATCAAGTCGCTATTTAATGGCGACCTAAAAAAAATTTTGGTCACCATCTCAGAATTTCTGGTCGCCATCAACAAATATTTCGCCATCAACAAATATTTCACTGGCCATGCTGATCACATTTTGTGAATAACGCATTTAGTGTTTTATAAAAGCAAGGAACCATCAATTATTATATATATATTCATTTTTAAATAAAAGATTACTTATTATTGTGACTGTATATAAAGAATTTGCTAGGCTGAAGAAACCACTTATGTACATTGTTATTACATAGAACCATCCGTATGGTACGTCGTACGAAGAAGAAAACAAGTGTGTTATTCTAGAATTAAAATTAAATCCAATGAATTTGCAACAAGTTTGACTGATACTGATGAGTGCATAAGATGGAAACTATTGAGATAGTACTTTGCCAGTTGTTTGTCATGTTTACTCTGTGAACCTAACCTATGAAACAGTTGCTGTCAGTATCACCAAAACATGATGATAATTGCAAGCAATATTGACCGATTGCTCCATTAACAAGGTTGGGGTTATAAAAAGTATACAACATTTGACAGCCGTTCTATACAACATGCTGAGTTTTAGGAATGTCTTCAAACATTTTCTTGATTGAGAATCTTGAAAAAAAGTGATATTGATCCCAATGGAAAAAATTGACAATCGCCGGCCCAAAATTCCTCGGTCGTAAAAGTGCGAGTTACTTTTAATTTCTAGTCGCAAAATTAATTTTTTGGTCGCAAATGCGACCATTTTAGTCGCAAATTGGAGATATGATGAGTATGATAATGATTATAGAGATCTCATCAAACTACAGATTTATTTGTCTGAAGAAAACAGAGTTCTAGTTCTAGGTGGGGTTAAAGTGGTCTTAGCTTCATAGACACTTGTGATATTCAGGTGAACAAGGCCCAGGGGCTTTGGACCTCTTGATAGTTTTATTTAGAATATGATACTCATCAATGTGAAGAGCAACTAGATGACTGCCTCAAACCATGTCTGAACTTTGGCGTTTTCTTTACAGATGGTGGATTGACGTCTGTGTACATCGTAGGAATCATCTGTGTAACAATTTTCAGTGTAGTGGTCGTGGTGATGATCTGTTACTGCAAAAAGCAAAAACTATACAAGACTTGCAAGAGAGAAAATCATGGTAAAATATATGACTTTTTATCTATTGGAAACCTTTCCTGTTAGATTTGTATTGAAGCATTCTTTATTTTTATACCTGTATACATGTATTTATGGGAGTGAGTATGTATACTCTATACAATGAAACTTCTCTAATCTAGTCCCATGAAAATCAGTTCTCCCTAAGAATGGGTCAGTTTCAAAAGTTGTGTGTTTTCGTATATAAAACTAAATGATTTTTCTTTTTATGTAATATTGATATAATTACTCTGGGCAACCTGTTAACTACAAAAAGTAAAGAAAACAAAAATAAATGAAAATTTTAGGAAAAAAAAAAAAAAGGAGAAAAAATTGAAAAAAAGGAAAAGATGTATACAAATGTATACCAGTCATTTTATTAGTCCTGAATTTATAATATTAATTTTATTTTGGTCATATGGAAGCACTTTAAGCTAATATACTGTTAATACATAATAATATAAAGTATGTGATTGGTGAACAAACGCACCTACTGAACACAAAAATATCCATCATAAAATTAAAATTAACATAAAATTGTTAGTATGTTAAAATTCAATACTAAAAATTAATTTGTACAAATCAGTTTTTCTCGTTTTTAACTCTACTGTTCGGAGACCAGATAAGCTTATGCTCTGGTAATTTTAAGGTGTCTGTCATCCATCCATCTGTCTGTCTGCACACAATTTTTATACCCCACGCAACAAGTTGCGGGGGGTATAATGTTTTTGACCTGTCCGTCAGTCAGTCAGTCCTGTTTTTTTTGTCAGTGCAACTCCTCTTAAACTGCTATTGCACAAAATTTCATCAAACTTTACAGATATTTAGGACACCGTGTGTAGATGTGCATGTTGCAGGAAATTCCGATTCCATTATTTTTCTGGGAATTTCGACACTTTTCAACTTTCAACTTTTCAACTTAGATCTTGAATATTGAGATGAACAGTTTGTCAGCACAACTCCTCTTAAACCGCTGCACAGAATTTCATCAAAACTTTGCAAATATTTAGGACACAGTGTGTATGTGTACGTATTGCCAGAAAATTCCAATCCCATTATTTTTGCCCTTAGAATTTTTGCTTTTATTGAAGAAACTTTCCAGCTAGGTAATAAGGAAATCCACTGGAATCGGCTTTTGTAATGAAATCTTATGTGAAATATTTTATGACCTTAAAAGACCCGTATTGATTTTCAGATCAAAATATTAATGATTCAACACACACACATACACACACCCACACACAATCTTGGATAGAAGTACACAAAAAGTTCTCCCCTCCTCCCTTCCCCCTCAAATTAGTGCTTTGTCTTAAATTATTTCATAAGTACAGTATATAAACAAATTTATATGACTACATCATAATTTTGTTTCCATCAATTATTTAAATGTGTAAATTGTCATACGTTGGACATGGTGTTACACTCATCAACAATCCGAAATCACTGATGAATTTAAATAACAGTTTGTCAGCATAACTCCTGCACTGAATGTCCTGAAACTTCAGAAACAATGTGAAGATTTGTATATTACCAAGAAATTTTGATTCCAATATTTATCTAGAAACTCCAGCCCAATTAAATTTGTAACTTACAAAGATTTGAATGTCCTTATATGCAAGAAGTTTTGATGTTATGATTTTTTGCAAGTAATGCCCCTTTTTAGCTCACCTGAGTCTAAGGCTCAAGTGAACTTTTCTGATCAAAATTTGTCCGTTGTCTGTCGTCGTCGGCGTCGTCTGCGTCGTTGTTGTCGTAAACTTTTTACATTTTCATCATCTTCTCCAGAACTACTGGGCCAATTTCAATCAAACTTGGCACAAAGTATCCTTGGGTGAAGGGGTTTCAAGTTTGTTCAAATGAAGGGCCACGCCCTCCTCCAAGGGGAGATAATTACGAAATAGCAAAAAATTAATGGCATTATTGAAAAATCTTCTTCTCAAGAACCAGTGGGCCAGGAAAGATGAAACCCATGTGGAACTATTGTCAGGTAGTGTAGATTCAAATTTGTTCAAATCATGACCCCCGGGGGTAGGGTGGGGCCACAATGGACGATCAAAGTTTTACATAGGAATATATAGGAAAAATCTTCAAAAATCTTCTTCTCAAGAACAGCAAAGCCACGGTTTGTCATATTTATGTGGAAGCATCCTCAGGTGGTGTAGATTCAAGTTTGTTCAAATCATGACCCCCGGGGGTAGGGTGGAGCCAAAATGGACGATCAATGTTTAACAAAGGTGTACATAGGAAAAATCTTCAAAAATCTTCTTCTCAAGAGCAGCAAAGCTATGATGGGTCATATTTACATGGAAGCATCCTCAGGTGGTGTAGATTCAAGTTTGTACAAATCATGACCCCCGGGGGTAGGGTGGGGCCACAATGGACAATCAAAGTTTTACATAGGAATATATAGGAAAAATCTTCAAAAATCTTCTTCTCAAGAACAGCAAAGCTATGATTGGTCATATTTATATGGAAGCATCCTCAGGTGGTGTAGATTCAAGTTTGTTCAAATCATGACCCCCGGGGGTAGGGTGGGGCCACAATGAACAATCAAAGTTTTACATAGGAATATATAGTAAAAATCTTTAAAAATCTCAAGAACAGCAAAGCCACGGTTTGTCATATTTATGTGGAAGCATCCTCAGATAGTGTAGATTCAAGTTTGTTCAAATCATGACACCCCCCCCCCCCCCCACACTCCCTTTTAAGGAATAGGTTGAGACCACTTATGCATTTAAGCTTTTCAATACTAAACTGATTTTTCCTTTTTTCCTAGCCACAGTGCTCTGGTGAGCGTTGTGGCCCTTGGGCCTCTTGTTGAATTATACTATGTATTTAAAGTGCACCATGCCATTCATTATGCGTTGCATGTCAAGATTTAGGGTATGTGAGCTTGCTCACTTTTTAGCTCACCTGAGCCGAAGCATCTTCAGGTAGTGTAGATTCAAGTTTGTTCAAATGATGACCTCTGGGATAGGGAGGAGGCACAATGGGGGATCAAATTTTTACAAAGGAATATATGGGAATTTTTTAAAAAATCTGCTCAAGTACAACAAAGCCATTTGTTAAAACAAATTATATATTGACATGGAAGCATCATCAGGTAGTTTAAAATTCAAGCCCCCCCCCCCCCCCCCCCCCCCCCCCCCCCCCGTAATCTTTTCAATACTGAACTGATTTGTGCTTTTGCCTTGCCAATGTGCTCAGGTGAGCGATGTGGCCCATGGGCCTCTTGTTCTTCATTTAAAATGCTACTCCTCCAACAGTTTGTTCAATTTCCATAAGATCTGGTACATAAGTAGACTACATTAATTGGTTTTAAATTTCGACAAACAGTGTTGCCATAAATACTAAAAATAAAAAAAATTCTTTGAAATTCTTTCAGAATTCTACTTCTACAGTTTTTGTCCTATTTCAATAAGACTTGGTACACAAGTAGACTTTACTAAGATACATAATTCAATTTCTTGACCTTTCTCTTTGTTTTCTTTTTGTTTCTTTTTGTAGTTTACAGGTACCCTATTGTCACTCTTAGTCTTTGCAATGTTACATGGAATGTGTTCTTATTAATAAAGATAAACACATGTACATGCATTATTAAATATATTTTATTTTTATAGGCAGCAGCCAAGGAGAGCATACATCAACAGAAAATCAATCGTAAGATTCAGTTTACTACAAATCTGCAATCATCATGAATCATTTTTTCTAATGTTTACTGTACAGGGGTTTCAATTGAGATGTGTTTTTGTCTTATTTCTCCTTTGGCACTAATATGTGACATTAAAATTCTAATATAGCACTGCAAGTTATTTTTCCCATGAAAAGAATTTATGCATTCTAAGCATGAATGTTTTTCTTGAATAAGTGGTAAAGTGATAGTTACATGTAAGTAAAATCCAGTGGCCTGTTCAACAGTGCTCACAAAAATTTCTGTTGGAGGTATAAGAAATTTTGGTGAGTGCTTGCGAGTGTTCACTCTGTTCAGTCTGTTAAACAGGCCTCTGGTGCTTACACTGCTAGGCCCAAATTAAAATTTGTTTTCCTTTAAAATTTCAGTTTTTGAAGGTGTTTAGGTATTCAGAGATATTAATTATTTTGATTTTAGGCTTGGTATTTTACATATAACATATATATTTTAGAGAATTTAAATTCTTTTTTTACAAGTATTAAAAAAAACTTCTCTTCTCATGAGAATCTTCTAATCTTTCAGGATTACAATTCTTAACATTTCTTCTTAATTTTTCAGAAGTGGGCAGATAAACATTACCATTCCATCACAGGAAAGCAGTGATGATTCACAACCCCTACTCCAACAGATCTCATTTAACAATCAATCTGTGGCACATTCCAGCATAGAGCTTGAAGAATCAGGGCCTTTAGAAATAGATTCCATTTTAACAAACAATTCTCAGGAAAGCATAGATGGACCTCTATCTCTCTCTGATGAGCATCGTCCTCCTACTGCAGCAGGAAATCTTATCAGGTTTGAAAATCATGACAAAAGAAATTCCGCAGCATTGTCTACAGATGGCAGCACAGATAGTGAGGCAGACCAGGAGGTAATGGAGATGAATCAAGTGACAGATGGAGCTTCCAATTCCTTCTCAAGAAAAATCAAGTATGATAGGCAGTGGTCCTACCCATTTGATGAAAAAGGGGAGAGGGATTACAAGTCTACTGCCTCAAAGTCAAACTCCATGGCAGTCTCTGAGAAAGTTTCCAAGGATGACTTATCTATTGGAATCAAGAACAGGAAAGGTAAGCTTTTTAAAATTTACACGAGGCATAGAACATACATGTGTACTAATGCACATTTAGGTAATTACCGGTAGGCTCTCTAAGAAAAAAAAAAACCTTATGGCTCTTTAATCTAAGATTCAAATATGCATTAATGCATGCAGTAGTTCAAAGCAATTATGAAGAAGATATAAATGCAGAGCACTGTTTTTTATTACATTAAAATTGTTTGCATTTTGTGTTTCTATATTTTATTATATAGAAAACAAGGTTCTAGAGGAGAAATTCCTGCGCTCTATTTCAAAACACCTTGTGAAGGATAGGATGTATATCCATATAGCTAGAGAATGTGGACTAGAAGAGGCAGACGTAGATATTGTGAAAATTGATAACCAGCATGAATCGGTGCAAGAGGCATCGTACCAAATGCTGCGACGCCTTGTGATGAAGTGTCGTACAACACAAGCTGTTTTTATTAAAGCTGTGCGGAAGCATGACCAACTGGCTTTGGAGAAAGTTTTTCAGTGTCTTTAATTAGAAATTTTTTGAGATTTTTTTGTCAGTATCACAAAAATGGGGCTTTAAAGAAACTGATTTTTCGCCCTCTTTATCATTTTACTTATGTTTAACATGTCACCATGCAAACAGGCCATATCTATTCCTGTAGTGATGTGGGTTCTTGTGGCCAAAATTCGTAAGGGAAAATTATGTTGGGAAGGGGCCTTTATAAGCAACCCCCATCCTCACCCCCACCCCCAACCCCAACAAAAAAGGAAGACCAAAAAAAAAAAACATTAAAAGAAAAGTAAAAAAAAAAATAGTTAGAAATCCTATTTTGTATAGGGTTGGGAGGGGTCAAAGAGATCTCAAAACACTTTTTCTCTGTAGAACATTTCTTTAATTTGTTTTCATTTCAGAGTAAGTATGTAACTTATATACAGGAGATATTGATATACAATGTCTTGACTAACCCATTGAAAGAAAACCATGTACATAAACCAAATATCATATTCTCCCTATTAAGTGCCACAGGTGCTAGGAAAATTACGAAAAGGGAATAATTTTAGCATTTATAATAAATTTTTTTCAATGAAATTTTAAACGTTCTAAACCGAACCATTAAAGCACTACTGACAATACAAAATTTTCTAGACTGTGTAAATCTGACTTACACCAGTCACACAGAGTGATGACATGATCAATTTATTAGGACGATTCAATTTTCCATTGGCTTTGAAGGTAGCTAGCACTTGTGGATTTGGACACAAAGGTAATAACAGGGGGCCCTTATTCTCTGACAATGTGATATTACTTCAGGAGGTGCTGATAGGGGCAGAGGCATCTGATAGGGAGAAAACGGTGTTCAAACACTACAAAATTTATTTTTTATCATGACAACAATTTTATCAAAAATTATTGTGAATTAATCACATGCAAATTCTTCAGAAAAGGTTGAGTAACACTAAATTTGGTAGTCCTAATTTAACCATATGCCACACTCAAAAAAGACATTTTAATTTAAAAAATCGTATTTAATAAGCATATTTATATTGGTTTTGTCCTTCAGTTGTTGATTTTTGCTGTCTTTGGTTTTCTTTTTGTAGACATCATATAAAGTACAGTGACACTGAGTTTCAACACAAACTACTGGTAATTTCACACAAAGAGAAGCATCTGGTGATATTGTTAATTGCACATGCTTCTTCTATAATAATTCATGTGTTTGGTTCATATAGAAAGAATGAGGCCAACACATTGAATTGAGGTGAGAAGTACCGGTAGTTTCACATGAAGAGAGGTAGAGTGATAATGTAAATTTCACTTGCTTTCTCAGTAATTCATATGTTTGCCGAAAAAAAAAATGTTTAGGCAAACTTTGAATTGATGAAGGTGCAAATTTGCCACCTTACCTAATTCAGAGTTGTAGAGAAAATATGCTCAGAACATGTTTAATACAGATAAAATTTCATTTACTGTGGTGACAAGGTTATTTCACACCCAACATAATTTCTAGTAGATATTGTTTGGTGTGAAAAGTTTTAGTAGCCACATAGGGATTACTTTTCTGTCTGTCAGTCTACCTGTTAGTCCAAATTGAAATAAGTACTCATATTTATTAGCAAGTTCAGAGGAAATTGGAGTATTCAAAACATTTAAAAGTACATTTATTATCAGAATTCTATGGGCAATTCCATCAGCAAGGGAGATTTTTTTTATTTTTATTTGTTCATTTTTAGCTCACCTGAGCCAAAAGCTGATTGAAATTTGTCAGTTGTTCAAGTTCATTGGCAGCACAGCGGCGTGAACTTTTCACAGTTTCAACTTCTTCTCCAGAACTATTGGGCCAACTTCAACTAAACTTGGCACAGATTATCCTAAGGTAAAGGGGATTCAAATTTGTTGAAATGAAGGGCCACATCCTCTTCCAAGGGAGATAATTACAAATTAGTGAAAAATTAATGGCATCTTTTAAAAATCTTCTTCTCAAGAACCACTGGGCTAGGAAAGATGAAACTCATGTGGAATCATCTTCCGGTAGTGTATATTCAAGTTTCTTCAAATCATGACCCCCAGGGTTAGGGTGGGGCCACAATAAACAATCAAAATTTTACAAAGGAATATATAGGAAAAATCTTTAAAAATCTTCTTCTCAAGAACAGCAAGGCCATGATTGGACATATTTATATGGAAGCATTCTCAGGTAGTGTAGATTCAAGTTTGTCCAAATCATGACCCCCGGGAGTAGGGTGGGGCCACAATGGACAATCAAAATTATACATAGGAGAATATAGGAAAAATCTTAAAAAATCCTCTTCTCAAGTACAGCAAAGGCATAATTGGTCATATTTATTTGGAAGCATCCTCAGGTAGTGTAGATTCAAGTATATTCAAATCATGACCCCCGGGTTAGGGTGGGGCCACAATGGGCTATCAAAGTTTTACACAGGAATACATGTATATAGGAAAAAAACTTTAAAAATCTTTTTCTCAAGAGCAGCAAAGCCATAATTGGTCATATTTATATGGAAGCATCTTCAGGTAGTGTAAATTCAAATTTGTATGAATCATGACCGTGGGGTAGGACAAGGCCACAATGAATGATCAAAGTTTTATCTTGGAGTATATAAGAAAATTCATCTTCTCAAGAACAGCAAAGCCGTGATTTGTTATTAACTATTTGGAAGTATCCTAAGGTAGTGTAGATTCATGTTTGTTTAAAGCATGACCCCCTGGGAAAAGGGTGGGACCACAATTGATGATTAAAGTTATACATAGAAAAACATAGAAATTTAAAAAAAAAAAAATCTTTTTCTCAAGAACAGCAAAGCCATGATTGGTCATATTTATGGAAGCATCCTCAGATAGTGTAGATTCACATTTGTTCAAATCATGGTCCCCAGGGGTAGGGTGGGACCATAATGAAAGTTCAAACATGTAGGAAAAGTTACAGTTAGTCAAAGAAATATGTAAGCATCTTTAGTTAGTGTAGATTCAATTTTGTTCAAATCACCCCCTCCCCCTTTTAGGGGTAGGTCGGGACCACTTTTGCATTGAAAGCTTTTCAATACTGAACTGATTTTTACTTTTTTCCTAGCCACAGTGCTCAGGTGAGTGATGTGGACCATGGGCCTTTTGTTTAAGAAATTTATTAATAACCTTAAGCAAGTATGTAAAAACAACATGTAACTGATATAATTTATACTTTTATTTAATTGAAAAATATTTTATGATCAACTTTCAAGTTGAAAATGCATTATTGGTATTTTTGATCAATGTTCAAGAAATAATGAATATCTTGAAATTTCATGCTGTTAATTTGGGATGAACCTGTTTTCTTTTATGTATAAATAACATCTTGTTGAATATTTGGGATTTTCAAATTTTAGCTACATACTTACTATGTAATAAAAATACCATTGATAAGGTACACTTTCATGATTCAATTTTTGAACTATTTTGGAGAGTATTTGATGGAGAATAATTGCTGATTGTACGAACAGGAGCGTTATTGACACCAAACCATAAGAATTTGAATATAATAGTGTATTAAATAAGAAATTCCTAGTTAAAAACTTTTTTCTTAAAGCTATTTCATTGGCTGACACTTTATTTACTTGAGTTAATTTCCAGGTGATACTTGTTCTGGAAACAAATTGAGATGTACCCTCCTCACTGCTATAATGTTTTGCTCTGTGCAAATCAGAATGGGTCTGTATTGTTTCTAGTGTATACATAATACAGTTGATTTTTTTATCTCCAACACTGATATCTTGAATACCAGGGATATGTTGAAGTGATTGGCAGTCCAAACCACTTTTTCTTTATGTCTTTTAATCTCTTGAATTCTTGGATACATTTCAGAGTTTGAGATAATGAGTTTTGACTGTATATTTATATATATATCCATTTGTAAATAAGATTATATGTAGAAAAGTAGTTGAAATGTTCCACTGTTTTGTATTGTTAATTCTGCACCATTTTGTTATATAGTGTAATCAAAACTCAGCTTATCATAAAGATGTAATTCAATAACCAAAATCAATCAGATCATTATCAACAACATATTGAATTTATATTTACAATCAAACAATGTCTCAGCATGTTCGACATAGATATCTTAGAACCAGTTAAACTGGGATTTTTCTCCTAACCATAGAACATTTCTTTCTACAGTCTCCCTAGGTTGACTTTAATTAAGATGTAAAAAAAAAATATATGTATGCATGGAAAAATGTCAAAAATGTATAGAGAGAAAGTCAACCTTCTAAAGGAAAGATAGGGTTTTTGTTTACTTTTTAGGTAATTATGTAAAGACTAGATTGACTTTAATTAAAGTATAAAAATATATGTATGCATGGAAGATGTTGAAAATATATAATGTGATTCTTACTTTCTGAAGGAAAAATGAGGTTTTCTAAACAATTTTTTTTTACTTTGTAAAATTGGTGCACTGATGAATTTATATTTTATTTTAAGGAATCATTGATACATGTAGCATGGCTTACCAATTAATTATATAAACTTCTCAGAGATTGTCAAGTGGGTGTTATTTTTGTTGAACAAGTGTATGTGCATATATAGCTGAATTTAATATTAATGTTATTATTTTTATTGAGAAATTTTATCATAAAAGTCATATCCCTGGCTTGTTTGACTAAGAATGCACATGTTGTATCTATATTATTTTTTTTACACATTACAGAAATATATTCATGAATGTTCAGCAAAATTCTGTTGTATTTTGTAAATGTAAATTGTATTCTGTTTTTAAATGAGAAGGGTAAATATTTTTTTCAAATTGTTAAGTTTTTAAAATTTCATGAATTTTATTCTTGTTAATGTTACACTTGTCAACACTTTGAAGTACAATTTGGCAAAATGGCAATGTTAAGTACTGTACCTGTACTTATAAAGGGCACAAATGGATTTCCTAGCATTATGTTATCATAAAGGGCATCCGTGTACATGTATTTCTAGCATTAAAGCATTATTTTGATGTATTTGAATTAAAGATTTTTAGTATATATACTGCTAGGAATGCACTTGTCATGTGAATAC